ATTCGAGCAGGAGATTTGCAGTACCTACTCTATCTTTCCTATTAAAATATTTACTTTTAATGATGAATAGGTATAAGGTTGTCGCTACTGAAAAGAAAAAAAACATTATAAGGAAAACACGAATAAATAATTATTTGAATATTAAAATGAATTTAAATTTATTTAATCGAATTCTCCAAATGGCAAAAGGTTATTGCTATCACCATTACAAAAAAAACTAAATGCACATAATTGCTATAATTAATAGTCATACAATGTGAATTAGCAATGCAGATGCTTTGCAAAAAACCGTAATTGTTCATTGATATGAACCGTCTGCTTCTATAAGAACCAACGATTAATTCCCGCTATTCGCCTATAGATGGCATTACGTAACTGTACCATATAATGGTTAGCTTTGTAATCAATTAACTCGACTAGTTGACTACTAAGCGTTCCATAACATTATAATTTTTGTCAATATTGAAACCACTAGGTATATTTATATAAATGAAATATTTGTGTTTTTATTAGATTTCAAAATATTTCACATTCGTTTACATTTAACGTTAAACAATATGACTAAGGTGTTGTTACTCATTTGTTTTTTTATTAATGGTCACTGGGTGGTAACCATTTCATTCACGGATTCAAAGATGGAAAAAGTAATAAGTGACAAAAATGTATATTCCGATACCGGGAATCGAACCCGAGCCTCCTGGGTGAGAGCCAGGTATCCTAGCCACTAGACCATATCGGATACTGATATTGTGTTACAAATTTACGTTAACATACAAAATCATGTGTAGGTACTATGAATTTATTTTTGAAGCCATAATGAACATTTATGTTTTTTTCTTTTTTAAGTAAAATAGTAACAGTCACAGTTTTCATCTGAAACTCGTTTTATTTGATAATTTCCATTTTGAATATCCACGTTTATCCCCTTTCTTACACAGCACAATGCAACTCTGTAAGCAGTCTAATCTAAATATCAATCAATATGTTTCGAATTTTACTTGTATGTAAATTTGTAATGCCATCCTTACTAATATTATACTTTTTTCCCGTTTTTTTGGAACGCACGGAAGTTAGCTTACGCACGATTAGTATCTGCCTAATTATTAATTTAAATTATGTTTCAGAAATTCAGACCACAGTATGGGAGTTTATACAAAAGGTACTAATATAATACTCCCTAGAAAAGTGATACAAAACAATGTGTTCCTTATAAATATAAGCACTGTTAGAAAACTTTCACTAAGATTGTTAAAGGAAATCGAAGCTTGTACTACCGCCTCTGATAGCTGATTTGTCAACGCCCATTCCTGATATTTAGTTTATAAACTAGCGTGTAGTTCTTATAGTGACAAATGTTTTCAGAGCAAAGTTAATTCTAGGAACTTAACTGATTATTTTAAGAATATAAACTGTTGTGAATATCTTGTTATTTTGTATTGGAGTGGAGTGGAATTGCTATTTAATTAAAAAACTGTTTTATATAAGACTTTTTATATATTTCATTCATTCTTCTTTTAGAGGAAAAACATATTTTGTAGTCAATTTTTAAAGCTATTGCTTGTAAAGGTATTCATTTGATATTGTGGGTTACTGACAATGCGAAGACACGGCGCTGTCTTGCAGCCTAAGAAATACTAAAAAAAATCGATATGGCTATTAGGGCCGCGGTAGCATAATGGTCAGTGCATCTGCTCGGATGGCGGAGTGTGCGGTTTCGGGTCCCGTCTGCTGCCTGGTTCCAGTGGTTCTTTTTCCAGATAATTTTTTCTTAAAATTTAAACACACTTTACTTTACTCATTGAAAAAAAAATCAAACTTATATTTAATAGATAGACACAGTAGTTATTACGTCATAAGCTAGCACATATCTGAGCATCATGTAACATGATATGATAAATGATATTATTATAAGAGTGCGTGGTTGGTTACACAGAAGTTGCGTTATGTCTTCAAACCTGCTTTTCCTGCCCCCCTTGGAGCTGTGACCTTGCTAATATATCACACCAGTTTCTGAAGGGTATTAGTGTCAATTGTAGATGGCAACGATAACTGTATAAAACATCATACCTGCATTAAAGTGGTAGTGTAATTAAATTATTGAATTCGGCCAACCTGTCACAGCAGATGATAAATCTATGTAGATCATATCCACGCATAAATAAACAAGCATGGCGTTAATTATCTGTTCCATCTGACTTCGCTTAACAATTTAAATCACCACGAAGGTATACTAATAGAAAATAAATGAGGTCTTACAATATAGGTACATTGAAAAAAAATTAACCAGCAAAAACTATATTACCAATTTTTTCTTGGTAATTAAATCTTAGAAATTATAGGGTAATTTATAATAATAAAATTTCTTTATTGTATAACACCACAAAGGATATTAAATAAGATTACACTGATAGAGAGACATTATACAATGGGCGGATTTATTGCTAAACAGTAATCTCTTCCAGGCAACCCATGATGGAAAATGAAATAAATTTATGTTAGTCACATGAGAGTTTAAAACAATATGTCTTAGAAATATCAACGTTTTTGGAATTTGAATCGTATGCCGTGCCATCCGTGCCACGCTAATGCATTTATTATGTATTCATGTGACTCGTTCGGGTAAATTATAATTACGCAATTACTTAATAGAACAGAATAAAAAAATTGGGAAAGTAAATAAACTCGACAGTTCATTTAGGTCTATACAATTCTCTTAACTCTATAATACCCATTTATATACCTATGTATACCCACAGATTACTTAATAGAATAGAATACAACCTGTTCATTTGAATTCCCTTAACTCTATTAAACCTATTTGCCATATCGGTTGATCTTCTAATTTTGAGACATTAACTTCCTCATTTTATTTTTATTTTTTTAAATTAGAGGATCAACCGATGTGAAATATTGTTATTATAGAGTTGATCTATCAAGTAATAAGTGTAATTATTATTTACCCGATCAATTTATATGAATACATAATAAATTAATTAGCGTGCCTTAGTGACGTCTTTGTTGGGGGTATTTCATTGCAATGACGTATTGTTAATAGCGACTAACGTTACGAAATCGAATACCAAATGAAAGAAATGAAAGCGACCGGTCGGCGGCCTTTGCTATCTTTGTGTCGCTTGGAGCCATTAAACATTATTCAAATAGTAACTAACAGAACCTTTTTTCTCGTAACAGTGAAAGTTTAATTGGATCATGTGTAAGTACTTAACCTACGTAATGATTTAAATAGGTAGCTCGGGTCCACCTACCATTATCATAAAAAAGTAGTGAAAACAATAGTTAATAAATGTTAATAGAAGATGCCTCTGCCTGTCGAGTGAAAGTGTGCCCCATCAAGTTGTGACGGACTAAACCACCTGCTCAGCTCAAATATATAATAGTATAGATACATAAAATTGTCTACGTATAATTTTATGACTTAAAAGCTTAAACTTTGATGTAGGTGACATATTAGAATGAATTAATCTAATTAGTCGCATCTTACATTTAATGTAGTATTGAAAATAAAAATTACATTATTACAACTAAATCAGGTTTTAAAGTGTGATATTTGACAGCTAGAATTACTACTTATTGGAGTATATAATAATATAATAATAATTATTATTATTTAACAATAGTAAAATGATATATGAACATTAATTTTACAATAAGCACCTTACCAATATATCTATAATATAAAACGGAATCTATAAATTCTAATTTTTCTGTCGTCTGTCTGTCAGTGGGCTTGCTTCCTATGCAAATGGGTAGTCAAAATTTCAACAGAATGTATCAAAATTCCCGCTATAAAGACAAATAATTAAAATCAACCTTGAAATATACAAAAACAAACGCTATTTGTAACATAACAACAAATAGCTTGTAACACAGTGTAAAATGCAATAATCACGGTCGAACGACTTTTTAACTCATCCAATAAACAAAGTTAACGACCGACTAGGCATTTCACGAAATTGCTGGCTTAACAACCTGCCTGTAACAAGTGAGAGATTGCCATCTCTGCCGATTATGTTTCATACTAACCGCGATTACGGACGCTAGCCGGCACAACGGCGTTGCTTGTTACAATCCATGTTGTGAAATGGGTGGTAGAAAGTGGCGAGCACAAACCACTATTATCAATTTTTCTTCATACTGTCATTACAATATCATCGATTTTGTTTTGAAATTGATGCAGGGTAATTGGCTGCTCTCTTTAGTTTGTTTGAAATTACTTAGGCTGTTCAGCTTGTTTCCGTGGCAGGAATCATTTGTGTTGGATCATTTATTATTAAAAAATAAGTTTCTTTCAAGTGCATTCTGCTATGTTACATCAAGAAGGGTCTTGTAACCAATTTTATACAAATAACAGAATATACTTGATAGAACCTTATTTTTTTATTTTTTGACGTTCAGGGGAACCTGACTTAGCCCTGACTGAGTGATGTTAAGTGGAGTTCAGAAAGTCCACATTTGAAGTTAGTTGGGTTAACAGATTATAAGCAACATTTTGCTAGCCTGCAATATGAAGGTGCTTTCAAGTTTTTTTTTAAAATACAATTCGTCCGATATATGTTTTGACCGGTCTGTTAGTTGGCAGAATTTTCTGCTCATTTCATTGAGCCCAGTGCTGGATGAAAGGAGCAGGTAGGAGTCCCAGATACCTTCACCTCGCTCCCCCGGTGGTTGAAGGATGCGTAAGGCATTTTCCGGACATAAAAGAAGGGATGAAATGGCCTACTTAAACGGTTAACTTCAGAATGGTGAAAATCCACGTCTCTAGTTGTAAGAAGGGAGAGCTTATGTTGCCGAAGACTACCGTTTATAAATACTACCTTAATGCGGGCACAAACACTGATTTGACTGCAGTATCCTGTAAGTCCAAACGGGTGATTTAAATCAAGCGGAGAATCCGTTATGCCTTTCTTAAGCATTAAGTTTGTTATATAATTAGCTGGTACTACCTTTTTGTGAATTAATATTCCATCTCTTTGTTACAGATAGGAAATCAGCTGCCTTCAGAATTATAAGCTGCTGAAACTAACATAGGAAGAGTGCAATGAGGACGTTTCAGTGAATATGAGGATATAGAAATAACAACAACAAAATGGCAATTGTTCAAGTGACTATAGTGAGTGCAGTGCTTAGTGTGGTGTCAGTGTGTGTGTGGGGTCATGTGGCCTTAACTTTTCCGCCCGCAAGGAGATTTGACTTGGACTTTTTAGACAATTCCAGAACGAAACCACCATGTGGTATGCCAAAAGGTAATAATACAATTTTCATATCATGTATTATTGTAGAGGGAACTTTTAATTCTTAAACGAGTTTAGTATAATTTTAGAGATGACACTGGTTAATGGATATGGATAACTGGATAGGATGTGTTTGTTTTATAGAACTGCTCTCTTATGCTACTTATTATTTTTACAAGTTTTGCTTTAAGATTTTACAAATACTGCTTCTCTATTCATATCATGCTACCTATTTCTAAAAATGCCTTAATGACAAAAAAGTTGTCTGAGAAATAGGAATAGCTGGTTTTAAGCCGACACGACCCGTTGTCGTATTTTCGTAGAATACTTTGATTTTGTTTTGAAATAAATACTAGACTTTATGTCTCCCGTCGCAATTTCACCACAAATGCTTAAAAATGTTAAGTACAAAAAGACTGTCTGTGTATTAGACAGAGAAGTTCATGGTTTAATAATCATCGTCTAGCAATACTGGTAAGTATCATCTGACCACCAGTATTTTTACGTATTTATAATAGTATATTATGCACAATATTTTGAAAATTTAATAAAATTCTCTGTTGAAAGGTTGAAGAATTGCAAACATATAATAACGTCACGTAACGGAGGTCACTTACTGTTGTGAACAGAATAATCAATGACAACTCGGTATAATGTCGTTATAAATCTTGGCTCACGTACGTTGTATTTTAATCAATGACACAATAATTAGTTTATTTAGCATAGAGCAATACGGACACAAACCGGAAGGGAATAGCCAAGCGATACCATACCTTGCCATAATAGCATTCAAATAGTTCTGTACAGTTTTGCGGCGGCAATATAACGAAACAAGTGTTGTACATACATGCATAAAAAACAAAGCTCTAAAATTACGACACTAACACATAAACAATGATATAATGCTCCGCCTCTTGTACACCTCTTATATTTTATATACGTATGACATGATCATGATCATTAGGAAATTATATAGAAACGCCCGGCCCTTCTTTAAAGTTTGACAGAGGGGAAAGCTGCCAAGCAAAAATCCAATGTCCAATTGTCCACGGCTACATGTTGCTATATGATATTTAATAATAAATTTTACTCGTTTGGTTTCCTCAGCGAATGACTAATAACTAACATTTATATTGCACTACTTGCAGACATTTATTATAAACATTGTACCTGTACAGTTACTTACCTTCCTCAAAGATACCGTCGTGAGTCAGGCACAGGTCAATGACCTAGGTCGAGGCCGTTCTAGAACGTAAACAGATGCTGCAATGCCTAGGTAGATCAAGTCGACAACCGCGCAACAATAGCCTTTTTCATAACACCCATCTCCGAATTGTTGCCTGCATGTGCAATGAGAAGTAATTTTGCATAGCAACGGTGTCTGCGCGCATTAAACATCTTCATAATATTATTTATTATAATTTAGAGATACCTGTTTGAAAATATTTGAGAATTTGATCTCGTAAAAAAAGAAAGTTTATCTTTAATTTATTCAATCGAAAAACATTAATAAAATAGGTAAAAGGTATTCCAATAAGTAAAAGTCTTTCGAATGTATTTAGAAAATTATCAAAATGCCTAACAATTATAGTATCAAGCAGAATTTCAATAATTTTGACAAACTCCAATCCATCTTTGCTTTTATATTAAACGCAGCCACATTTAGCAACGGAACCTAGCAATAAATATAGTTTCGTAAAAATAACAAACGTTAAATTCAATTCTAACTATACTCATATTAAGGTCCACTGACAATAAAATTAAACTATCACTCTAATATTATAAAGGCGAAAGTTTGTGAGTGTGTATGTTTACTTCTCTTCTTCACGTCACGACTGGAGTAAATTTAATAAAATTTGGCAGCTGACACCCTAGATTAACACATAGGCTACATTTTACTGCAGGTAAATATCCCTTATAAACCACTGGTAACACCGCCGGGCACAGCTAGTATAACAATAAGTTTGATCATGCCGCTACGAAGGAATGCATTTCAGTATGTAGATCAAATCTAAACACGTACTTGTAGTAGTATCATAATAATATTAAACAAGTTAGCAAATATGCATTTTCTATGAATATGTATTAGATCCGTATTGATAAAATTATTAGGTCTCTAAATTCATTCAACCACATTTGAAATGGTAATTAATTCAATGATCTCGAATAGAAGATTTAAAAAAGAGTAACAGGTTATTATTTATTTTTGTTGATATGCCAAAAATAATAAGCTAGCTTCTAGCCAGTTCTTTCTTTATAGATGAATACTAATTAATGCAGAATATATAACAAGAATAAACGTAAACCTCACGTGATCTGTCTGCTGCTAAGTGCTGACTAACATACAAGTTTAATTTTCAATTGATCGGCCGTTTAGTAATATTGCGGGTTGGCTGTCCCTACGGCTATAAGCGTTATGTTATTTTAATTGCAATGTAACGTAAGTGATGAATGAGAAGTCTGGATATTTTCCATAATAATATCTCTTAAATTCTTAATTCTTATCTGGCCTTAAAAAAAAATACGAATATAGAAAAAAAATGGTTAATTTAAAGAATACCAAAATTAAAGATGTTGTTGTGACTACGTACGAAATAAATAGTCAAAACTTAACGCGTGGAAAGTGATTCATAATTTCAACCTATCTGTTAGTCGCAGTCGTGGCCGAGTGGTTAAGGCGTCTGACTCGAAATCAGATTCCCTCTGGGAGCGTAGGTTCGAATCCTACCGGCTGCGTAATACTTTTGTTGATGTATACTTTAATATTTTTTAAATAGTTTTATTTAGAGCATTCATTGTAGGTATTTTAATGTAGTATGTAGTACTGAGTAACGATTTCTACTACATATTACTATATTTTATTATGAAACGTAAAGTATAAAACTTTAATTATTATGCTAAGCGTATTTTTAGATTTTTGGTGTAATATGCTTTAATTTTTTTAATATGTTATTTATAAAATTATTCTTTTCACATAACATTCAAGTGATTAAACGGGCGAGAAGTTGTAGTTCCTTCATGTCCGATTTTCTGAAAACGCAAAAAAAATAGAAAAAAATGACCTTGAATACTCGAGCGCGTCAGTTTATTATACAGTCGCTACATCTTGATTTCCTTAAAATGCTGACTATTGGACAGATCTGACAATTATGTGGAAGAATTACCTTAATCTGACGGTTTGAAAAAAACATGTATATTTTCAAATTTCATATTCCAACTTCTGTTCGACTTGTTCGTTTTCATCAACATCTTGAGTATCTGAATATTAAAAACAAAACTGTTATGTACTTCATGATATTATTGAAGTTTTGAAAAAAATCACACCGGAATCTGTAGTTATCCCCTAGATAGAGTATCAGGTGACGACATTCACAGTTAGTACTAGTACAGCCGTTCAATGAACTTCTTAAACTTGAATTATATTTAAGATTTAATTCCTCTAATTAGAATATAAGCGCAATTGTAACTTTTAAGATAAATAAACCATCTTGCTGCGGGTGCGGTAGCGATCTCTGCTGTGTGCTCGAAGCTGCGCAAATATTCAGCTCTCAATGAGGACTACATATTTGTGACGTTTGGTGTTGAGACTATGGGACCATGGGGTCCAAACGCTTATTCCTTCTTTAGGGAATTGTCTAAGAGACTCACCGAGGTGACTGGTGATCAAAAAGGTGGCAACTACCTTGGTCAACGGATTAGCCTTGCTATCCAACATAGAGATGCTGGCAGCCTACTGGGCACCATTTCTGACGTCGCCGCGGCGGCGCTGGGGGTGATATATTTTAATTTTATAGACATTAGGAAGTTTTAGGCTTTTGTAATTTAAATATTTATATGTAACTATAAAAGTAAAAATAAATAAACCATTATTATTACTATTCTGATTTAGTTCTCAGTAAATGCATGCACCACACTCTATTAATGATTTTAGCTACTTCGGCTTGTGCAAATCAGCAGTTTTTTTTTCCGTGTTTCGTTAAAATTTTCCTTCAAAATAAATTAAAAAAATAACCGGGATCGAGAATGTCCGGGTGATTTTATTTTTGCAACTTTGTTACTCCAATTTCTGAATGCCACGCTCAACATTCCAGAATATAAAATGTAAACTTTTATGCATGTAATTGACTTAGCCTAATCTGACGCGTTCGAGTTATTCCAACAATCTACCGACAGGGGCGACAGAATATGAAGCATATGAAATAGAAGATGAAATTGATGATGATGAAATGCCAATCTAGAGACGCTTAAAATAATTTTGTTGTCAATCATTTAGTTACCTATAACGGTTTATAATTATAACAATCATTTTTTTCATATAAACGTCCATAGAATTATTACTTAGTATAAGTTAGTAACAGTGTCGGGCATATCTTATGTTAGTATTATTAGTATATTATTACGTAATTTTTTAAAATTACTAAATTATCAGCCATTACAGATTGATTATATTCACACACTCATATCATAATTATTATACATGAATTTTTTTTTTTATCTTTGAAGTCCCATGGCTATTTCTACCTAGTGTATCTGTATGGGACAGTCCATTCTAGCAGCTATTATTTTCAGGATGCCATTGCCTCTGTTATGTAGACGGTGTAATAAAGAAGCCGCTTTTTTGCGCATCATTGCATGAATGTGCGCGTCTACGAACATTTTGGGAGTCGAACATCGCTACGGCGGCAGTCCCAACAGCATCCTGAATGCATTATTATATTGTACGCGCTGGACATTATAGGCTCGCTGTGAATAAGCTACCCACAGACCACTAGATTTTTTTTTATAGCCAGTTAGGCAAATGACTCTATCCCACCTGATGTTAAGTGGTGATAAAGTCCAAACGCGAAGATAGCTGGTACAGCTACAGCAGCTATAAACTGCCACACCAACCATCCTCACCTTGCCGGCCTGTAATAATGCTTCTTCGGGACCCCAGATTAGAGGAAGAAGGGTACACGTGCGCGGACAAAGAATTCCACTTACGAATAGCACGACAAAGTTTTTTTTTTGTATTTCTGCAACTTGGCGATCTGTGTTGACACAATAAGTCAATCAGTTGGTATAAAGTGTCAATTATGTCAATACCAGCACAAGGAACTCTTTATTCGTTCCTTAATCGAATCTCGCAACCAGCGTAGGGACATCATGCCGCTTTAATCGGTTGTGTGACAAAGAAATGGGTCACCAAATTTCTAGCATAAAAGTAATGATAAAAAGCTTTAAACAGAGTCTGACAAAAAGCTTGACCTGTAATAGTGCACACAGTGAATCTACGGGCAAGCATATTATGTACTTCTCACCACTAATGTCCTGTGCTCCTTCTATATCATCGTCATCCCTCAAGTTGATTTATTGTAAAAAGTTAAGCTACTGTTAAAATTGTTGGCTTTAGCAATCTTTGATATTAAAGTTCATACTCGTTTGCGTAGATATATTATTCTCACTCGGTGACAGCAATCCGATCAACTTATCGGTTGTACACGGTGATATTGTGTTCACTGTGCATAGATTAGTTTTTATTTTCAATTCTACATCCAGTTGCTCTGAGAGGTTTGCGCACGCATATCCTTTGAGGGAACAGACTCCCAATTGAGACGCCACGTCACAGGACCGTGTGGCCTAATGGATAAGGCGTCGGACTTCGGATCCGAAGATTGCAGGTTCGAGTCCTGTCACGGTCGAACACAAATGTCGCAATTTGTTTTTAGTTTAAATTTTGTCGTAGTGATTAGCGGCCGACATTGGTGTCGATTCTGAGATTATTTAAACTCTTAACCTTATCTTATATTTGACAAAAGTTCCTTGTCCTTCTCTATACAGAATAAAAAGGAGAGGTTGATGTTAAATTAAGTTTTGAGATTCATGTCAGAATCGGCACCAACATCTCACGTATTTTTACCAACTTTGTTGGTATGTCCGATAAAAGTTTTTAACTGTGACACGAAATTAATTACCTGTGCTGACATAGATATTAGTCAATTTGCTTCTTGACGTACCTTAAGCTTATTTTCTTACAGCAATTGCAAAACGATAAGGTAGCCTTTCGCTTAAATGTGCGTATCCATGTAAGCAAACTTGCCGCTTCCTTTGGAGTTTTGCACATAGACTAAAGATTTCCTTATTAATTTTTTAAAATTGTCTAGGACAGGCAAGTATAAGCTTCTTGAGGACAGGGAAACATTATTTTTTCAACAATCGGCCAAGTTTTGCCCATAGACCAAAGATTTCCTTATTAATTTATTAAAAGTTGTCTAGGACAGGGAAACATTATATTTTTCAACAATCGGCCAAGTTTTGCCCATAGACCAAAGATTTCCTTATTAATTTATTAAAGTTGTCTAGGACAGTAATTTTTTTTTTCTAGTATTGTCATGACTTTTAGTCGCGTCCAAATTGTCAGTCTATTGAATAGGAGCTACTTACTAAAGCGTACACGTAACATTTCTGATGACGGAAAAATATAGATCTACCGGTTTGTATGGTGTGACCCTACAGTAGCTTCTATTCAACGGAATGACGATTTAGACGCGAGCAAAAGTCATGACCGATTATTGATTTTATTATTTTGTTGCCCCCAGACTTTAGACCCTAAATTAAGGGCTCAGGTATAGTGGCAGTAGGCTTGCCAGATGGCCGGGAAATCCTCGGATTTGTCCCGGAATTTTGCGTCTTGTCCCGGATCCAATAATTTTATTAGACCTTATGGTTCCGGATTCCGAAGATGTCCTAGTTTCGTAACAAAATAAACTAATAACGAATGACACTACTGGCCTGCTTGATGTTTTAAGTCTGGGGGGGGGTGATAGGGGGTTTGATTTTCAAGGGGGGTTCAAATGTCCCGGAATTGATAAGCCAGCATCTGGCAACCCTAAGTGGGAGGTACAAGGTGCAAGGTTGCCTCTTGTCTGCCTTATGTTATTCTTCCGCGCTTGAGTAATTTTTTTTATTTTTTTATTTATTTATTAGCTCACAAAACAAGTTACAATTATAAAAAAAAACCAAAGCAATAACAATAATAGAAAACTAAACTGTAACTCTAAATATGTGGGCATAACATGATTAAATTTTTATGGGCTGAAGTTTACACTAAAGAAAGAAAAATATATAAATTGAATTTCAACAATTATCAAACAAAAAAAAAAGTCACTTAAATAAAATAAAAGTAAAAATTTACCGATTTTTCTTTAACGAAGTATTAATCGTTGTTAAATCCTAAAGTCCCTGACTAATAGTAGAGGACTATTACCGTGATTACCACCACATGCAAGTATGCCACTCTAAAAATATATTTTATTATGTTCAAAAGTTTTCTTACTAAACTTACGTAAATCTTTAGAGTGAGCTGTCTGGGATTATTACTAATACATAATAATAATAATAATTTTTATATTAAACTTATTGCTCTCGCTCACGGGCTTGTACTTGTAATCTGTGGTCTTACTGATCTCATTTGATTTGACAAATTTATTTCTGATTTAACAGAGAAGATTTGTAAAGAAGAGAGAGAAAAACTTATCATTTTTATCAAGTTTTATAACTCTCTATGACTTATTCAATGAAATTATTCGTGCGTCTTAACTATAATGTATTAATACCAATAAAAAACCGGCCAAGAAACCCGCACGCCGCCGACCGGGGCGCACGAATGGTTCTGTACCCATTATCTAGAGTACACGTCTATAGCTACAACGTAGCGAGAACAATCATTTATCTATGGCTACAACTTCAGACACACAGTGTGATAATGATTAAATACTCAATAATATAATAATTATGTTGATATTATAATATCGAGTCTCACATTCACAGTCTCTCACAAAATACCGTCTGTTGTATGGGAGTCAGCACATCCCCTTTTATAAACGAAGGAAATATAATAGGAAAATAAAATAAATAAAAACCAGCTCTGCGATGACATAAAATTGACAAAATGATATTTATTTTTTTAAGGTATAAACATCAACGAGTAGTTGATAATATACTTTGACCTCCTTTGTCGGTAACAGCCCCCTTGAATATTTATTTTGATTTTAATGTAATCATTCACTTTGGAAGTAAATAGACAAGTAATTAAATATTCCGTTAGTATTTCAAGCGGCTCCCTGTTGCCGTTATTAAAGAGCAAAAAACGGCAAAATACATGTTTTTTGTATGGGAGCCCCACTTTAATATTTATTTTAGTATTTGTTGTTATAGCAGCAACAGAAATACATAATTTGTGAAAATTTCAACTGTCTAGCTATCACGGTTTATGAGATACAGCTTGGTGACAGACAGACGTATAGTGGAGTCTTAGTAATAGTGTAACTTTCTTACTCTTTGGGTTGGGAACCCTAAAAATTGGAATTTCGCAGCACGAGCATTAGTGAATCAATAGAATTCTCACAATAAATTTTCAAGTTTCCATTTCATCATGAAGTGTGAAATCGATTAGTATACCTTCTTTCAGATAAAGATATTAATCTAAAAACCAGTCATTTTTTAACAAATTAAGTGGTAGGTGCTTAGACTTACCATTGCCACAGAAATTGTTATTAACAATTAATTTTAATTAAGATTATCTACCTTAATCTTAGATTGACCTGAGCCACTTTGTGCTCATGATTTTGGAAATCAGAATCTACAACTTGAAAGTGCATAAATTAAGTGTAAATGTGGCCAAGTTATCTAATTCAATTACTTGAAAAAGAGGGAAGTAGGCAATTAACCATGAGAATCGTGTCTCATTGCATAATGTTTTGTTAGAAAAGTTAAACGTCTTTACTATAAGAAATAAAGTTAACACAGTATTTTTTCCCTACGCACCTAAGAATACAATACAATTAACAAATTTTCATGGGACCAGTTGCGACATCTATTGGCGTTTGTGTAATCTTACTGTAACCATGTCATCTCTTATAGTTACGCTACTAGCCCCTAGATGGCGTTAATAAGAGTAGCTGTTTATTCATTCATTTTTTTTGTCTTTTTACTAACGTTCTACCTCATTTTTTTTACAGGAACATTGAAAACATCTTTCTTAGCGGGATCAACATTCACAGTGCATTGGCATTTGGCATATGCACATCGTGTAAGTTGCAATTTTTTATTCCTCTAAAATTACAGCATTGTTTCTTACAGCCGGTTAAGTCACACACGTGTATCTTGTATTTTGTAAAACTCTGTTTTTTTAACTATTATTTAATTTTATTATTAAGCAATTGTAGTACGCTTCACTGCCCCAGATGGCGCTTTTCAAATGTCTAACAAATTGCAATTGCGGCCGTGATCTTAAAAATTAAATTGCTATTTCAGGGTGGATTCAGTCTGAGGATATTGGACGAGTTGGAGAGACCAGTCCTGGATTTGACTCCTCGAGCTGGCGGCTCTGAATTTGTACGAGATGACGTCACGTGAGTAGAGTCTCTCATTAAAGTAAGCAGTGTTCTCTTTAAATTCACAAGTAACTATGTAACATTTAATTAATGTATTTAATAAATTGTATTGGTAGCGACATGATTTTATCTGTTGCTACTTCTATTAATGCGGATAAAAAGATGTCCTGGGTGGTAAGGAAAAAAAATATTGGACGATTCAAAAGACCCTTCTATAAGTAAATTTTTATAGCGTATTCTTTCATTTCATTTCATAAGAGTAAATTACCCAACCCGACCTGATCTTAAGTGTAACTGGAATCCAGTCGCGAAATATCTGAATCCGAAGTGTCACCACTTCGTGATTAATATCCCATACACATTTTCAAGTCCTTTTTACTCCATTAAAGGATAATTTCCTAATTAATTTAATAAGGATAATTTTAAATTTATTTTCCATATCGTTTTCTGGGCGATTGTATTGACCTACCTGACCTTCTTTTCAGAGCCCAGAAGTATGAGGTCCGTTTACCGACCGACTTCACCTGCGAGAACTGCACGCTGCAGCTGCAGCGCGAGGCGGGCGAGTGGGGCGCCAATTACAGGTTCTGGTCGTGCTCTGACATCGATATATTGCCACGTAAGTTTCCCCACAAATATTCTATTAAGACCTCCCGAATTATAGTAGACTAGTGGCCGCCCGTTACTTCGTCCGCATTATCTTTAGCTTTTTGAGAATCCCACAGCAACCTAACATTTTTCTGGGATAAGAAATATCCCATGCATCTTTCCAGGTTACATGCTGCCTGTAATTTAAAATGTCATCCAAATCTGTTCAGCCGTTTTTGAGCGATTGTGTAACAAATATACAAATTTTCACATTTATTAGTAGGATTTGCTAGTTATATATCGATGGTTGTGACTTATCGAGTTGCAATAATAATCCTGGACTGCATGGTTTTAGAATGGATTATCTTTACTTATTTCACTAAACATTTATCATCACGGAAAGTGAAGATCTTTGCCTGATAAACATTTAAATTTATAAACCATTGAAATATATTAGTAGCGGTTGTTAGCTTAAACGAATTTGAAACAAGTAGAACAACAAAGGAATTCCGTAATGAATTAAATTATCATACTTATTAGTGTCAAGATTTGAATCATAAAAATAGCAGGTATACCTGCCTACGGATTAAGAAAGTGAATTTGGCAAGGGCGACGGTAATCTAATAACTGGTTTTAGTTATGTTAATCATATAAATAATGTGCGCTCCCATTAGCTGTTCTGTCTGTGTTTACTCATAAATATTCCTTGTATAATATTGTTGCTGTTTCTATAGTTGAGCGAAACACTAAGCCTATGCTACTGAATGTTACATCGTTGTCGCGCAAACGAAGAGATACGAGAAGATAGATAGTGATACGAAGACAGAATCTAAATTATGTCAGATTGTACTTGAAAATGCAAACGTTAAGTCATATACATGTTTATACCCTAACTAGAGGGCGAGGAACTTGATAGACATTCATTTGTTTATGGGCTTCAAAAGTGACGCTATTCTGTGTTTTTAATACTGAGTACGCTTCAGATTCAATGAGTAAAGTGGTCATCAAACGAGTGATACTCTGGTTACTGGGACAGCATTAGGTTTCATGACTGCAAAGCCCCAGGCTATAGATCTTTACGACTCCCCTCTTTATAATGCAAATACTTTCTTTACGAGGATAGGAGTACGATAATAAATATTAAAAAAATATTGAAGTACAAGTGACACATATGCATTTACTTCTTGAATTGTTGTACGAGAGCACAAGGCATTGGCAAGAGCTAGGACCCATTTCAGCAGCTCTTTAGGCATCTTCTGATGATGCAATAAGTTATAGTCATTGGCTATCATACACATCCATCCACTTGATGATAACCACCCGTTTGCTTTAAACTTTTGAACGCAAAAATTCTACTTGTGTCACACCACTGTCTTCCTAGTTGGCTTCCAGTCTAAAATTTAAATAGTATGTTGAATCTGCGCAATTAAATTTAAGCATAGAAATAAATTTAAACACAGCTGCCACAGAAGTTTCATTATATAATCAATTACGTACGTTTATTAAAGTGTTAATGGTTTGGTAATCATAACTGGCGAAATGTCTCGCTTATGAAAATGTTAATTAAAGTATGAAATTGATATTTGACAATAAGTGTTTGTCTTCACTCACTGTGTACGTAATAGGTATTTTGTTACTCAATTTGCTACTTGTTGAGTAAACTTTATTGAAATTTCCGCATAACTGTTGTTAAATAACATGGTAAATCTGTTTAGTTTATGCTATGAGTGTCGCCTCTAATTTTGGTATGGAGATAGCTTAGACCGCGGATAAGTATATATGTACTTGGACTAGTTCTTGATAATGGTTCTCCAACCACCCAAACGTTAAAATTATTTCTCTCTAACTACTACATAATTGTGGGCATCTGTTATTGATATTATCAGTTTTTGATAAGATTGCCAATATACCAGCACGACATTAAGCACCGATAGATCAATGGCCGGATCAATTAACCAATCTTCAGTCGAATATAAGCTTTGTCTAGTTACGTATCTTAGCAGCAGCTACTATTCTGAACTAATGAGGGCATGAATGAGGGTTTTCTGGAATAACGGGCAGGTGGCAGCACTGAGACTAAAGGTCATCGAACGGTCTACTCATTCGTCAAATCACGTATGTCGTCATAGCCTGTGGATATATAGTAAATGCTCCTTCGATTAATTGGCGCCAAAAAGTTCATTCAAAGGAACTCATGTCACAGTAGCGCCGACTGATGACGTAAATTTTCGGAATAATCAACATTAGATGACCTCCGTGGCCGAGTGGTATATACGCCGGCTTTCATAGGGGCAGATATTTATGTGATGAATACGAGCATTTGTACTCCAGTCATGGATCTTTAATATGTACCTTTTATATAAATATACTTATATAATTCTCAGTATATGTTCTATCCGTTACCCTAGCATCCCATAATACAAGCCTACAGTGCTTACTTTGGGGCTAGGCTACTTGGTGTGAGTGTTGGAAATATTATTTAGTTATAAGCAAAATGTCTTGTTAGCTCAACTAGGCTCCAAAAGACGTGTCTATCGTGTGTTTGTCAATAAACTGGTAATTTTCATGTCTATCACCATTGACACTGAAAATAAATTAACGTCACCAGGCAAAGAATACCACGAGACCTGTTCCGGACACGGATTCCACATCCTAGGCCGTTGCAAGTGCAACAAAATGTACTCCGGCCCCCGCTGTCAATTCTCTGACGAATGTTTGGAGGATAATGACTGCGGCCTGAGAGGCAAGTGTGTGGACGTCAACGCCACAGAGTCGCCATCCAGGATGTGCTACTGCCCGTTCGGATTCTACGGGAAGGGGTGTAACAAGAGTGAGTAAATTTGTTTTTTTAAATATAGATATAAACGGTATCGCTACAAAAAAGTAAGCCATGGTTTCAAACCTTCTTTAGGCAAATTTTGTATAAGAATATATATTTTTTTCTTAAACTCGTGTTGAACACATGTTAAACTTTTTTTGTACTAATAAGTTTACTGTCAGTTAAAATTTTACTAGATTTTTTTATTAAATATGTATCTACAAATAGAAACTGTTTACTATCCCGCATAGATAGTTAAAGATTTATCAAATAAGGCATTTCCATTTTATGTATGAGTGTGAGCCATATACGAACTACTTTATTTTCAAACGAAGAATTATTTTTAAAAATATCTTTACAAGCGCCATCTATCATCGAGTAGCTAATACCAGCATTAAAAGTAGCATGCTTTTCTTTATGCTTTGGAAATAACTTTAATCGTTTTTTATTAATAACGTTTCTAAGATTATATTTCAATTAGTGAAAAAACTATGACCATGCTCAGTGAGCCTTGGTATATTTAGGAAAAAGCAGTAATACCTAATAAGTACCCACCTTTGTTATACAATTCTCTTTTTTATAACTCTACAGAGGCACCATGGAAGGACAAGAAATTGAACTTGGGGCTGTACACGAAGAAGGAGTTGTCAAAAGAGTTCAATATATTCTGGCGCATTATAAAAGAAGACGCAGAGTTGGAGGTTGTTATGGTGGTCAATGGTACTTCGTATGCCGGTATGTATTGTTATGTGGGCATTCATGTATTACTTAAGACTATTATCGCAACTTTTTGACCCACATCCCCTATTATAAGATAAAATAAGAATAGGCCGACCCGTTCCCGCTTATTATTTATTACGTAGGAATCTAAAGGAAAAATTAAAACACGTTTGATTTGTTTAAATGTTTCTTTTTCAAAGTAACAATTTTTAGAAATGTTTTGGTAGTAATAATCATTCATCTTTACCTTTTACAACTGTAGCGGATGGCGCGGGTCCGTTGCCATGGAAACGGAAATCGTTTACGCATCCTAGCGAACTTCGGCACTCGCGCGGTTGCGCGCGCATTTTCAAAGTATTATTTTAACTGCGCATTTTTGAGATCTTTCGAGTTAGAACTATCGAGACTCTCTACCACCCTTTGTAAGAATAAATAAGGCATTAAAAAAAATAAGGCTGGGTTCTAAGCCACTTTATCAAAAGGCCTTTGCTACTTGAAAAAAAAAAAAATTATATCCCAATTCAAACCCTAATGTTAAAATTGATAATCAATAGTGGGATGCGATAATTTGTTGTTTATAATGTGTTTTTTTTTATATTTATAGGTATCGGTTGGCGTCCTAGCGGTCTAACGAAACAGTGTAAAAATTTCCCAGTTTTAGGACCTAGCATTGATGAGAAACGTAAGTAATTTTAATTAAAATTTTTAGTTATAATTGTGGGTTACCTACAATGCGAAGAGATGGCGCTGCTTTGCAGCTTAGTAAAGTCTAGAAAGAATTCGACACGGCCATCAGGGCCGCGGTAGCGTAATGGTCAGTGCATTCGCCCGGATAGCGAAGGGCGCAGGTTCGAGTCCCGTCTGATGCCTGGTCCGCGTGGAATGTGGCACAGCTTATATGAATTTGATGGTAGGAATAATTTGCTGATTATGGTATATATTATTTCGCTTTCATCAGCAAAATTGAATAACCTCTTTTATGAGAACAAAGAAACAGAGAACAAAAACTAATAAAAATAATAATTGCAAATTTTCTCGTGCCGATAGAAAAAGCTTTTTAATAAAAAAAAAATGAAAATTCGAAAAATACAACAGTGTGCCTTTATAAAATAATGCATTATTCCTGTATACATAAATTAATATGTACCCAATTAAGTTTTATGCAAGCAAATGAAAGAGTCTTTATATTAATTGAAGCTCACAATAATTAGGGACGGACATTTCTTAACGTTTAACGTGAGAGAATCCTCCAACTAAGTAAGAAAAAAATATGGTAAAACTCTACTTCCAGGGCCCAAGAGGTGATACTTGAATTATTATTTATTGTAGAAAGTTCTCTTTTAATAGAGTGTTTTTCTGGCGCTTCGCCGGTCGCTGCTGAGGCACGCTCGCTTTGCTGGCTCGGCTCGCGTTTTTTGGTCACAACCCTAACCTAGCCTAGTGTGAAGAATCACCGCTTGGGCCCTGGAAGTAGAGTTTAGCCAAAATTACTTTTTAATAAGTTAATATAAACAATTACTGTGAATGAGAAATACAAATAGTCAAAGAGAGGCTTTGTTTTTGTACGATCCTACGTAATAAAATGTTCAATTTCAACAGAGAGCACCCCGAAACCAGAACCCCTCCCAGAACCAGAGCCGAAAGCTGAACCGGAGCCGGAACCTTCCGCAGAACCCAAACCGGAACCCGAGCCAGAACCCAAACCGGAACCCGAACCGGCGGCGGAACCCGAGCCAGAACCAAAACCGGAGCCCAAATCCGAACCGGAACCAAAACCAGAAACCAAATCAGAATCGGAACCAAAATCTGAGCCATCGCCTGAACCGGAGCCTTCTTCCGAACCCGAACCGACTGCAGAACCGAAACCAGAACCAGAACCGACAACCACACAGACTGCGGCGAACGACAACCGGAACAAAAGGGTCGCCATGCACACTTTGGACGGTTTCGACTTCAAAAACCTGGGTGATGACGTCACTGTGAAAACCAGCGTTTCCTATAAAGTGTCCAGTTCTAAAGGTATATTCACGTTTTGTGTTTTTAATGTAATCGTAAATCGCTATCGTAATTTTGTCCTCTATTATTGATTTGCTCCCAATTAATTTAGTTTTCAAATCATCCCAGTCTATCAAATTTTTTAAGAGGTCAATAAGACCCTTGGGATTGATATAAGAAAAACTTAATAATAAATTTTAATGCACAATTTATTTGCCAATACAGCTTTCCCCTTTTTGAACTATTAACCGGATATAAGTCAAATACGCGTGATCGTAGTTGATCAAATGATAAATTATATTCTATTTCCATAGGACGACGTAAGAGGGCGGCGGTGAACGAAAGTAAGTATACAAAAAAACAAACCAATCACAACTAATTGTATTAAACAAAACACAGCACAAATTAACACTAGTGCTAAAAGCCACGCAAAATTGAGCACAATATTAAACAATGAAAAAAAAACTTCTAACAATGTATAGAGAGTACACTAATGTACATACTACAAATAATGGTGCATGATTAAATCTTTTGCAGATGTGGAATCTTCGTCATTTGTCAATGAGAAAGAGACCACTCCCGTATCCTTATCCGAACCGGAATCGACCCCCGAACCTAGTTCCGAATCCCCATTAAAATCCGAAACGGCTAAGCCGAAATTGAAACCAAAGTTTACGCCAAAGTATAAATTGCCTCGAGTGTTGCCTTCGACAGAGCAACCGAAAATATCAGAAACCACATCTGAATCTATTTTGGAGTCAGTTTCGGAACCAAAATCCGAACCGGAGCCGACGGCCGAACCGGAATCAGAGCCGGAACCAACAACAGTGGCTCTGAATAATTCTTCGGAATTTAAATCGGAAATCGAAACTACTCCAGAGCCTTCTCCGGAACCCAAATCCGAACCAGAACCCACCGCCGAACCTAAGTCGGAACAAATTTCCCAAAAGAAATTCAAACAAAATCTTTCTGCTGGGCCGAAATTTAAATCGGGGCGGAAATCCGAGTTAGAGCCTGAACCTGGACCTAAATCCGAACCAGAACCTACCCCTGAACCTAAATCGGAACCTGAACCAACTCCTGAACCGAAATCTGAACCAGAACCAACGCCTGAACCTAAATCTGAACCAGAACCAACCCCTGAACCGAAATCCGAACCGGAACCTAGTCCGGAACCCAAATCTGAACCAGAACCAACCCCTGAACCGAAATCCGAGCCAGAACCAACTCCCGAACCTAAATCCGAACCAGAGCCAACTCCCGAACCCAAATCCGAACTGGAACCTAGTCCGGAACCGAAATCCGAACCGGAACCAACTCCGGAACCTAAATCGGAACCAGAACCTGTTCCCGAACCTAAATCTGAACCAGAACCCTCCCCTGAACCCAAAGCGGAATCAGAAACCGAAAGTTTGCTAGTTAAAGGACTTAAAGAAGACACAGGTAAACGCACTTTGGCTTATTGCACTTATAATAACATAAATTAATATGTATTGTATCTGTATTTCTAAAACATAACAATATTTGTGTACTGTATATATAATTTAAATTTGCATCCTAACCTGAAATTGTATATACTATGTCGGAAATAATTTCTTTAACTCTTCATTATGTAAAAAACAGATATTTCTTTCATTCTGGTGCATGCTTCATTAATTATCTTCAATTCGTTAAATTATATATTCTTAAATAAAATAGTCTTAGTCTTTTCTCCCATTAATAATTCCAATGTCCATGTTTAAATCTAACTTATTTAATTGTCAACTTTGGAACAACCTTTGCTTTCCATTTATTTCGCCTTAGTAATCTAATTTATTCTTTTGTCTATGTTAAAATAATCTTATTCATTCTACTATCTATGCTACACTGCTTTGCTTTGGCTATCTATCTGCAATGTTCTTTTCCTTTCCTTCTTCCGTTATTCCAATTATCCTTATCGTTTTCCCTTTTTCTTCTTCTGTAAATTTTCTTTCTCAATTAATTTGGTGGTCTCTGAATCTTTCTTTTGTTTTACCAACTTATTTTCAGTAAACCAGCACGAACTTAATACTAATGAGAGGGTCTCTTATTTCCTATAATGGGAGGGTCTTTAATTTCTTAGAGGATTATAATAAATTCTTAAATTCTCTTGGTTTTTGGGTGAAATTCAGTTAAATGTCTTTGACGTATATTTCACTCGATACCAAAACCGTTACTTACAAATCACAGATTTTTAATTTCCATTATAGGAGAGGTACGGTCTACCAAAAATGTAACTTTTAACACTGCAGTAGTGTTTAAATTACATTTTTGGAATTTCAACTGTACATCATTAAATGACTTGAAGGGTTTCCCTTGGACGAGCAGTATGTGTACTTGAATGTATTAATACTTTCATATACAGCCAAAGAAAAAACTGGAATACAGTGTTCTTCTTCCACTTTTAATCAAAAATCATATAGGTATTCAGTCTAGGCTGTTACAAGCACTTGTGAAAGTGAAGACCTTGTATTGAGAAGAACCGGCAAGAAATTCAGCAAGGGCAATTATATACAGAGTTGTCAAATTGAAAAATTACTTCAGTGATAATTCTGAAGTCAGTTTCCATTACATTATTAGAATATAGCTATTTTATCTTCGATATCTCTTGTTTGGCTCAGGGTTTTAATGGTTCTTTTATCTAAATCTCTTACTTTTCTTTACTTTTTAATATATTTAATTAAATATCACTCAACATTTTAAATTTTATTAAATATTTCTGATTTTTCTATTATTGGATTATTAATCACACTATTTTTCTGTCAAAATCTTACACACTCTTACATGTACGTAAAAATCTAAATTATTGTTATTAATTCATTATAGTTACTATAATATCGAGAGTTAGCAATATATTATTAAGAATTTGTATAATTAAACAACACAACGTAAATTCTTCTGAAACTAAAAGCACTTATGTTATGGAAGTCGAAAACAAAGTCAGCACCACAGCCACTCAGACTACAGGCATTATAGAAAAGTTAATCATTTACATTGACTCGATCGGAAATCAATCCATATCCAATCGGTTGCACGACACAATGGAAGATCAAATAAAAGGATCTTTTTTATAAACAAACATGTATTAAGAAATGATGTAATCGAACATAAAACATAAATATGTAGCAGTTAAAATCCCTAATAAAATATCTCTATTGATCCTAAAAATTAGCCTTCAATCTACATTTAAGTTCTACTGAATCGATTTCCAATATCGTGCAAAGTATGGTGTTAATCTCCTCCGTGTATGTTCTAGGTTATTTCCCCGCTCACGAATACGTGCCGAAATTTGATTTCAATCCGATGGATTGTACCGATATCGTCATCGGCACGGCTAGAGGCAACTACCATAGAGTCCTGGACTACTATACCAGGGATAGGTGAGTGAAAACTGTTATAATCATGAAGGTTAGAGAGAAGGAGAACTACGCTGTAGAAAATAGTGTCCCAGGAATATGGACAGGGCCGGATTTAGAGGTCCAGAGGCCTCGGGGCAACAGGGGAGCAGAGGCCCCCTCACCCCAAATTATTTTCCAAATAAAGTAAACAATTCTTTTTCAGTCGAGTTTTTCAATAAATAATTTATTGTAAACCAAGTAGATTCCCTTAGTATTGAACAAACACATATAAATATAAACGGAAACAAGAATTATCTTAAATTAAATCTTAGAGTTAACGAACGGAACCGAAAAGATGTTTACTAGTGTTTACTAGTTGGAATTTGAAAGATTTTTTTTTCTGAAGTCTCTATTGTGGGGGCCCCCCGTTTGTGGAGGCCCCGGGCTTTCGCCCCGGTTGTCCTCCCCTAAATCCGGCAGTGAATATGGACAAAATAAGTGTGGCGCTGCGATCGCTAAGTTGTCTCAATAAAAGCGGGCTGTGTGCGCTAGTTTGAAATGACCAACACCGCAAAGAAAATTTAAACATTATTCAACTAACTTCATCTACTTGTACTCATAAACAGCTAACTTCACAGATACTACTTGCCGACGGCAGCGCGGCTGGTGGCTGAAAAATGAACTATAAATTCTACAAATTTTCAGGGACAGGCGGGCTAATGCTTTAGCACGTAGCGATCGTTCTCCTTTTCTCTAATCTCCATGCTGAAAACTGTTATAATAAAAAGCTTTATCTATGTAACTCTGTGGTTATTACTAGTCTGTAACGTCAATGTTTCCCACCAATACTGCTGTCATCTCTCTGCTAGCTAAGCTTGTGATACAAACTATCTGTGATTTATATAATAAAACAATTAAAAAACATAAAACCATTTTATTAACAAACAGCAGGCTATGGGCCCAGCACAGTTAAGAAAAAAATAAAATAAAACTACAATGGATACTTCAGAAGAAATTAACAACGTGCAAAAGCTCATTTCGGAAAGTCGGGTTATGTGAAGTTCCAACTAAATGTACTCTTAGAATCGTACAGTCTTTACGAAATAGTGCACAATGAAACCGAATCGAAGGAGAAGGACTAGAAAACCATTTGTCAAAAAAAAAATAACCAATGGCAAACAAGCGTATGGCCCGCCTGATGGTAAGCGGCCACCGTAGCCTGTAGATATAGAAGCTTGCGATACCAAAAATATCACTATCACCGTTTCCTAGTCAGGGGACCCAATCCCCTACCCCGTGGAGTCCTGGAACCTTACTCACCGACAGAAACACAACACCACCGATAGGTGTTTGCGTATTTGCCTTCATATTATTTGGCAAATTATTTGCCAAACACGCCAATAGCAAAAATTCTACGACAGCGACAGCGCAATTGGTGAGGGCGTCAGGTCTGCGACCGCAACATTCGCATTGACCGGTTATAGGATGGGTGACTTAAATTTATTACAGCTTGTGCTTTGGAAGGCACGTTAAGCCGTTGGTCTCGGCTGCTTCTGCATTGGTTAGCATCGACCAATCCGCACTGGGCCCGCGTGGTGTGTCTCGGCCCCTCTCTATTCCATCCATAGGGAAGGCCTGTACTCCAGCAGTGGGGACATTAATAGGCTGATGATGATGATGAATATAAATCTTAATATTTGTCTGCAGATCTACTCCACGTGTGGATACCTTCTGGGGCGGCCATGATGACGTCACCGCTGCTTCAGGATTTGAAGAAAACGGAGTCACCACCATCGTATTCAGGAAGAAGATTGCGGTAAACCAGCAAAAATTATTTTATTTAAAAGGAAAACTGCAATTATTCTATTCTAAACTCTGTATTTGAGTGAAGACTCATAATAATAGGGTATTTGACAGTATTAAAAACAAAAAAAAATCTAAATTTTACTAAAAACTCACGATAAAGATAATAGTTTTCTTATCTATTGTCACGTGACCGAAAACGCTTGGGATTGGCGGAGCCTAAAATGACGTCACACGCAAGTAAACTTCCGGTTAAAGTGACATTACATTGTATCGTTTGACGTTTTAATAACAGTCGTGTGACGTCACACACTAGTAAGATGCCATATTGTCCAGAGAAACGTTTTCGCGGCAACTTGAAAATGGTGTTTTTGATTTGGTTATTTTTACTGAAATACACAACAGAAACAGAATATCCACTTTTTACGGACTCCATAAACATTAGCCAATAAAGTGAGATCGTTTTCTAAAACTTGTCAAATACCCTATTTAGGGTTGTAGTTAATTCTTTGGAAATGAAATATGTATTCGTTTATATCGTCTAGATTCATTCACATAAACTTAGATTGCTAGGGTCATTTACACGCAAACGCGATACTCTACATACTCATGCAATGGAAAAGTAAGCAATATTTATTTATTTACTAATAAGGGTCAGCAACAAAGCTAAAATTGCTTATAGTTAACTGCACTTACAATTAAGGTAGCCACAGTATGCGTTGATAAAAAAGCAACAAAAAAAGCAGGCTCATATAAACAGCATATTCAATTCAATTCAATTCAGTATCGTTTATTCAGTCTAAAGAAAGTAAGAAAGAGAGGAAGAGGGAAAGAAAGAAAGAAGATTTTTATTTTATTGTCTAGGCACTTGAGAATGTCGAAAAGCTACGCCATCTCAGATTTTGTTAGGGGGGTCCGTTAGGCCGTTTCTTAGCCCACGGGGCCTGTTCGGATGGTGTGGGTATCTATAATATTATTCAGGACTTTATATAGGAAGGATATACCAAGATGGCAACGACGTATAGAGAGAGGATCCAGGCCAGAATGTCTTAGTGTCGCTGAACACGGGCCACCGACTACAATCACAAAACGTCGCCACCGGCAAATTTCTTGTAGTTTTCATACATTTTATATGGACTCGCAACACACGGTACGCCGGTGGCCGCCACACGCTACAAATCGTCGTTGCTCGCTTTTTGTGACCCGCACCGGCCACTTAATGCGCCGATACAAAACGCCGCCACACGTCACTCGCGCGATTCCCCACCCCTCTCTCCCTTACCTCAGTCGGCCGCTGTCGCGCGCTTCAGCCACTTTAGTAGCCGCTTCTAGCTTCTCGTGGGGGCGTTTGTGGCTGTGGCGTGTGGCCTGTGTGCGGCGACACTTAAAGTTCGGATAAGCTTCTTCTTTCTGTGCTCTTCTATCCGGTTTATATGTACCTTGTAATCAGGGCACCCAATACTTAAGTCCACCTCCGAGATGAAGTCTTTCCTCTTTATATTCCTTAATAGAGTTCGGAGGCGTAGTTCGTGGAAACCCCGTAGATACACAAAGGATATTATGGTTAAGAACCTAACAACCCGATTGTCGTAAAATTTTAATAGTTAAAGATCATTCTATGTAATAACTGTTACTGGATTCCTTACAGGCTAAGGAACCCACCGACCATTCCATAGTGGACGACCTAATGCACGTGATATGGGCCCGTGGACAGGAACCCAATAAGTACGTGCACTCCCCGCCGTCGGGAATCGAACGCGGGACCGCGGTTGTGAGGGACTTCTACAGGCAAGACGAGCTAAAATACCATGGGCACGGTGCACAGAGGGGCGTGACTCGGATCAACTTTTTCGGTAAGTTTGATATACAGGCAGTCCTCGTACTTACGGCATATTAGGTTCTGGGTAATAATATACTGAGATTCCGTTGTGCTGTAATTAAAATTAAGCTTAGGATAAAGAAATGACGTTTTAAAAGAGAATACTGGGTCCATCTCTTTAAATCAGTCAGACTAAAGTTTGTTTGTGCGATGCTGCATCTAGTCACATGAGTTCTATTTGTTGAAGTGATAACTTCTTATGGGAGGTTAAATTGCTTCGTTACGTAACGCGTGACGGCGCCAATCTGTCTGGCTTCCCTTCACCACAAAAGGAGATAGACGCCACAGCCCGCCCAGGTTCTAGAAGGGTTCCAGGTTCCCTAGACCCTCACCCATCAATCCCCACTATCACCCACCAATCCCTTTTTATCACCCACCAATCACCTTATTTATTTATTTTGCTATCATGTACCAAAGTATCATCCTCGAATCCCTTTCACCCTTCAATCCCCCTTTTCACACTAGAATCCCTTTTCACCCTCGAATACCCTATACACACTCCATTTCCCTTTTCACTCTCCAATCCCCTTTTCACCCTCCAATCCCCTTTTCACCCTCGAATACCCTTTACACACATCAATCCCCTTTTCACTCTCCAATCCCCTTTTCAACCTCCAATCACCTTTTCACCCTTCAATCCCCTTTTCACCCTCTAATCCCCTTTTCACCTACCAATCTCCTGTGCACCAATATCAAAAAAGGATAGTCTAAGCTTTTTTTTATCGAGGACACATGAGTACTTTTGTCGCGTTCGGTGTCGCTGTGTCCACCATTGTTCGGGATATCTTATGTACGCGGTATTTTTAATCCGTCGTGTGTGTGCTTGATGAAGTTGTAAGCGATCTATTTTGGCGGACAAAAGTCGTCTGCGCAGGCCATAAGCATAGGATGGTAAAGGTAATTGATTTCGAGGATTTTGGAGCCGCGACAGAGTAGCTAGAGGTCTTCCTGTTTTGTGTCAAAAGTGTCTAGGGATGAAGTATGCAACGCACAATAATTTAATTATTATCTCGCATTTTACACAAACAATGGATTTTTTTGTTAAACAGCAGTGTATCCTTAAGCTTTATCTGCTAGTAATAGGGTGTAATTGCAGCAATTTAGCAAAATCCAAAACTTAAACTGGTTATGACGCTTTGTATTTTTTTATGGATTAAAGCTAGTTTTAGTTGAATCGAGATTTAGAAAATTTCCTGCAAGTGAGTTAGCATAAAAGTTAAAATTCTTGATCTATTTTTCTCTTTAAAAACAACTCTTTTTACCCGCAGAGGAGGCTAAATCCTCCATATCAGGCGGAGTGCTCCCCCTAGCGGACAAATGTGGAGGCATGTGGAAATATCCCACGGCATGCAACCCGGACAATAACACGTGCCAATACTACGCCTCCTGGGAATATTTGGGGCAAAAGAGGGGCAAGGATTCAATAAGGTTCGTGATAAAGACGAACCAGACTAATTTGTGGACGGGGATTGGATTCAGCAAGGATAAGAAGATGGTGAGTGATTCTAACTTTAGATAAAACTAGCGGCCCGCCCTCGTTTAGCTTCGGTGTAGATCTGAAGTGTAGACTACAGTTTTTGTTCTCAGGCTTGTATTATACACAATGACATTCATCTATGATTCTTCTTATACCTGCATGCAAAGTCTCAGCCCGATCGGTTTGAAATTGACAAAGTTTCATACAATCTTTCATTCTCTATTTTATCCCCTTGGAGGTAGAATTGATCCAAATCTTTTCTTAGCGGATGCCTACGTCATAACATCTACCTGCATGCCAAATTTCAGCCCGATCCGTCCAGTGGTTTGGGCTGTGCGTTGATAGATCACTATGTCAGTCAGTCAGTTACCTTTGAGTTTTATATATATTCAGATATGCGTCCGATTATCCAATCTCTAGTTATAATGATAAAACGATTGACTTAAGTTTCCTTTTTTCGCTAATACTTTGTTGATACATTTTTCATTCACGCCGTAGTATTTGTTATTCGAAATGTATAGCTCGTGCACGTGTACCGTCATAAAATTTACTTCGAACAAATAGAGTTTGGATTTTTCGATACTTTTACCAAAATTATTTTATTATCGTGGTCTGCGTACATGGCAGATTTCTGCCAACGTCAAAATACCCTTGTCTGTGGAAGTGGCGGATTTCTGCCACGCAATATTATAATACAATATTTAGTTAAAGAATAGATAAATAGAAATATTTAAGATAGAGTCTGTGCGGAAAGAGAATGGGATTTAGATTGGAGGGCGCTGTAGTGCTTTTCTACCGTATTTGTAAGGTTTTACCCCTTTTAGACATGATTAAATACAAAAAACCGCAAGAAATCACAACAACAAACAAATCCGTATCAATACAAAACTTTGACGTTTTACAGATTGTTGGGTTTGATTGCCAAATAAAAAACTTAATGTTAGTTCCGTTTTTCGCCACGCCTATTCTCTTTCCGCACAGACTCTATGTATGCTTCTTAGGTTTCACGCACATTACTCTAAAATAAAACAAGTTTAAACGTGTTAGATGCACTAATTCTATTTATTTATTCCGACGATGCATTCTTGGAAGGGATGCGAAACGTCAATAAATAAATAAAATCAGTTGTTTTCTTTAATTGTTCTTTATTTAGCATACTGTCAAGTGGCCTATTATGTAAAATTAGTCAAGGTCAAGGCCTGAGCAACATTGGCTGAGCTATTCCTTATTGTTTTATTTTGAATGAGACACTATTTAAATGTCTGTAAGCATGTAATAAAGACAATAAATTATTATTATTATTATTTTAAACAGTCTCAAACGGACGCAGTAATCGGTTGGACAGACCCGCGTTCAGGGCAGCCCTTCTTAATGGATACCTTTGTAAGCGGATACTCCGCGCCTAGACTTGACCAAGGGCAAGATTTGACCAAAAAATCCGGGAGCATAATCGATGGAGTTACAACACTCAGCTTTGTTAGAAAACGAGATACGGGAGACCAGAAGGTATGTCATCATCAGCTTATTAATGCCCCCACTGATGGGGCACAGGCCTTCCCTATGGAATATGGACATTGGGCCATGATCACGCGGGCCCAGTGCGTATTGGCGGGTGCTAACGACTGCAGATGCAGCCGGGAAAAACGGCTTAACATGCCTTCCGAAGCACGGAGGAACTCGAGATAGTAAATTTTTGGTCACCCATCCAATGACCGACCACTGCGAAAGTTGCTTAACTTCAACGATCGCAGCCGAACGCGCTTACCACCCGCGCCATCGAGCTCCTCGGTCGTATTATAATCAATACTGTGGTATTATAATCAAGGACAAGACCTTAGCAAAGTCGATGGAATTACTACACTCAGCCTTGTTAATAAACGGGATATGGGGGACCTGAAGGTAAGACATAAATATTAAATACTTGCTGTCCAGCGAACTTCGTACCGCCATAACAATAGGGGCTAGTGGTGGAAGGGTGGAAATTAAGGGTTGTATGTATTCTTTAATGATGAAACATAAAAAAATAAAATTTTGTCCAAAAAATTTTAAAGATATTTAGGGGTGGACAACAACCCTTATCACTTAGGAGTATGAAAAATAGATAGTATCCGATTCTCAGACCTACACTGAAATGCATATAAAATTTCATAAAAATCGGTCAAATTTCGGAGGAGTAGTTACATTGTGACACGAGAATTTTATATATTATAAGATGTATAAATTTAGCCTTCCAAATATCGATGTTTTGGGTTTTTGACATATCGATTTTATCGATATCCATGAATTTAACATATCGATGTAAATATCTGATTGATTCCCTACACAAGTGATTCCCGCATGATTCCCTAATCTTAAAACTAATTTTGACATTATCGTCTCTCCTTTTCAATCTGTAAAGAATGACAAGGATTCACTGCTGTCAAAATTAAGTTTTGATTTAGAGAATCATACCAGAAACGACACCAACATTTTAACTTCCAAAACATTTTGATATCAACTTTTAATTTTCTTTTCTTCCAGGACTTTGCATTCACTGACACTCAGTGCCTATACATGATGTTCATACCGCAAGGCGGTAACTTCGAGCCGAAGAACAAACGGACGAGCAAACACCTGCAGACGCCAGTTGTTTCTGAGGAGAAAGTGTGCATTAGGCCATGTGGACCAGGTAAGGCGTTATTTATTTATTATCCCAAATGGCAATCCTCTTTTCTTTGTCGTTTATAATCCTTTTTATATAGATACTAGCTGACCCAGCGAACTTCGTACCGCCCTAAAAAAATAGGGGTTGTCCAGCGGACAAAATTGTGAATCTAAACCATTCTCAGATCCCCTTGAACACACACAAAAAATTTCATCAAAATCGGTCCAGTCGTTTAAGAGAAGTTCAGTGACATACACACTCACAGAAGAATTATATATATAAAGACTAGCTATCCCAGCGAACTTCGTACCGCCATAAAAAATAGGGGTTGGTGGTAGAAGGGTGAAAATTTAGGGTTGTATGTATTTTTGTATGATGTATCATAACAAAATTCAAAAAGATATTTTTATGTAAAATTGAAAAAAAAAATTTAGCGGTGGATTACCCTTAACATTTAGGGGGATGAAAAATAGATGTTGTCCGATTCTCAGACCTACCCAATATGCACACAAAATTTCATGAGAATCGGGAAAGCCGTTTCGGAGTTTAACCATAAACACCGCGACACGAGAATTTTATATATTAGAAAAAAAACTTCTAGGGATAAGAATGCCGCCACATCACTTGGCTATTCGTATTGGCTATTCGTTAACTTGACAACAATCTGTCCTTATCATGCTTTATAAGGAATTGTTTGTCATTTTCAATTCTAAAATTTCGATTTTCCCCTGCTGTTGGGCCAGCTGCATAGAGGTAAAAGAATAGAATATGGGAAATAAAGACTCTACTACAAGTGGAAGTGTCCCTCTAATAGAAAGAGAAAGAAGTTGAGAGACCGCTTGGTTTCTGTCTCTATTCGCGTATGCGCATTGGCAACCGTAAGCATCTTACTATGTATATCGATCGATGTGATGCCATTGGATGCCATGCGTCACAAGAGAGAGAGATAGCTAGCGGTCTCTCATCTTCCTTCTCTTTCTACTAGACGAACACTTTTAGAGCCGCCTTCCCCACTCTATTCTTATACCTCTATGGCCAGCTCACTTAACAGAACTAGTTGCGCTCAAATATTTCACTAGAATTACTCGAGTCGCGAAAGCGTAAGTCAGAGCACAAAAATGCTCTGTAATTTGTAATTTGCTGTAAAAACAGATCTGTAACACCAAACTTAAAAAAAATGGTTTAACATTTCATATGTTAGTAGAATAATTAACATATCATAACTATGTTATCACTTCTAAACAGAAAATAAATATTATTTTATAGACATTCAATCTTCGGACTTGTTTGACAAAACAATCGACTCGTCAGTACAAATATCGGAGCTGTCAATAAAAATATCTTAAGTTTCATCTGTGCTCAATTTAATGTTGTATTTTTTATGTGTGAGTGTCATAATTACAATTTCATTAATTGCGAAAGTATGTTAGACTGCATTTGTGTGCATATTCTTCGCCTCGCAAAAAGTGGCAGAATGATTTCAGTACTACTTTGTCAATATGGCTACTCCCCCTCTTGCCGCGTTGGTCGTGTTGCTCTATGCTAAAATCTAGTCAATTAAATAGAATACAATATTGTGATTATACTCATCATCATCATCATCATCAGCCGAAAGACGTCCACTGTTGGACATAGGCCTCCCCCATGGATTTCCACAACGATCGGTCCCATGCTGCCCGCATCCAGCGGCTTCCCGCGACCTTTACCAGATCGTCGGTCCACCTTGTGGGGGGCCTGCCAACACTGCGTTTCCCGGTACGCGGTCGCCACTCGAGGACCTTTCCGCCCCAGCGGCCATCGGTCCTGCGAGCAATGTGCCCTGCCCATTGCCACTTAAGGTTTGCAATTCTGTGGGCTATGTCGGTGACTTTAGTTCTCTTGCGTATCTCCTCATTTCTGATTCGATCACGCAGAGAAACTCCGAGCATAGCCCTCTCCATTGCCCTTTGGGTGACTTTGAGCCTTCTTACAAGACCCATTGTAAGCGGCCACGTCTCGGTTCCGTATGTCATCACTGGCAACACGCACGAATTGAAGACTTTCGTCTTGAGGCACTGCGGTAGATGTTCCGAGAAGATGCTACGTAGCTTCCCGAACGCTGCCCAGCCGAGTTGGATTCGTCGATTAACCTCTTTCTGGAAGTTGGACTTACCCAGTTGGACTATTTGTCCCAGGTATACGTACTGGTCAACAGCTTCCAGTGTAGAGCTCCCAACAGTCACTGGAGTGGGTACGACATTGGAATTCGACGTGATTTTCGTCTTGTCCATGTTCATTTTGAGACCCACTTGTTGGGACACCCTACTGAGGTCGCCGAGCATTGTGCCAAGGTCATCCATGGTCTCAGCCATGACTACGATATCATCTGCAAATCGAAGGTGCGTCATGTACTCGCCGTTTATGTTGATGCCAAGTCCGCTCCAGTCCAAAAGTTTGAAAACGTCTTCCAGCGCAGCTGTAAACAGTTTCGGTGATATAACGTCACCCTGTCTTACACCACGCTGCAGCTGGATTGGCTTCGTGTTTTGGTCCTGGAGTCGAACTGACATAGTGGCGTTTTCATACAACGACTGCAACACTTCGATGTATCGATAGTCTATTTGGCACCTTTGGAGTGACCGAAGCACGGCCCATGTCTCGATCGAATCGAAGGCTTTCTCGTAGTCCACAAACGCCAAGCATAATGGCAGGTTATACTCTTCGGTCTTCTGTATAACCTGCCGCAGCGTATGGATGTGGTCTACGGTACTAAACCCTTTTCGGAATCCGGCTTGTTCGGGAGGCTGGAAGTCGTCAAACCTGCGCGCGAGACGATTCGTGAGGACTCTCGAAAACAGCTTGTATACATGACTCAGGAGCGTGATGGGTCTGTAATTCTTCAATTGGGCCCTGTCTCCCTTCTTGAAGAAAAGCGCCACCACTCCCCTATGCCATGCGCTAGGCGTTCTGCCCTCGAGTATGACAGAGTTAAATAGCTTCTGAAGAGATTTCAAGACTGGTCGTCCACCTGCTTTCAGAAGCTCGGCTGTAACTCCGTCATCACCCGGCGCCTTATTGTTTTTGAGCTGTTTCAGAGCTACACTAATCTCGTACAGGCTGACGTCCGGGATATCTTCGGTGTAGTGTCGGGTTAATTTGGCTCTTGGGTCGGTCGCCTTTGTGACAGGTACTCGTGATGTCGCGTATAGCTGTCCGTAGAAGCTTTCGATCTCAGCCATAAGCTCAGGTTGCGACGAAATGATTCTGCCGTCCTCTGTCTTCAGCTTCGTCAGCAAACTCTGTCCAAGAGACAGATTTCTTGCGAACACTTTCGAGCCTTTGTTCCGCTCGATGGCCTCTTTAATACGATCAGTATTAAAGCGGCGTATGTCGCGAGTCAGAGACTTCGAAATCTGCCTATTGAGCTGCCGACGTGCATCTTCAGAGGACTGCAGACCCATCTCACGCCTTTTCTCCATGAGCTTGAGAGTCGGCTCCGAGATCTTGCTGCGTTTTTTGGTACGGATGGGCTTGCAGAACTTCGAGCCCACCGTAAGGACAGCTTCAACAAACCTGTCATTATAATTGTCCACGTCTACGCAGCTCTCTAGGCAATCGAAGCGATTTTGCAGTTCGAGTTGAAAGCGCTCGGGGTTTTGGATCCGGATGGCTTCAGGACGGAGCGTGGACTTCATCAGTCGATTCCTTTCGGCTTTGACATTTAGATTCAATGTGCCTCTTACCATTCGGTGATCGCTTCCCGTATTGAACGAATTGATCACTGAGACATCATTGAATATCCGAGTCTTAGTCGACATGATGAAGTCAATCTCATTTTTTGTCACGCCATCCGGACTTTTCCAGGTCCATTTTCGATGCAGCCGTTTTCTGAAGAAGGAGTTCATCATAAAGAGTCCCTCCTTCTCCATGTAATCGGCTAGCATTTGACCTCGGAAGTTCCGGATTCCAACTCCAAATTGCCCCACTTTCAACTCATCATCGCCACGTTTGCCCAGCCTTGCGTTGAAGTCCCCCATGACAACGGTGTAATGGGTCCTGGAAGCATGCATTGCCCGAGAAATATCCTCATACATGACTTCCACTTCTTCGTCGGGGTGCGTCGAGGTCGGAGCGTATACCTGTATGACCTTCAACGAATACCGTTTGGTGATTCTGAGTATAAGGAACGCCACCCTATTCGACACACTACCGATCTGTACAACATTGTTCACGAGAGACTTGAGGACAACAAACCCGACACCACCCTGGGACAGATCTTCGCCCTCCCGGAAATAGAGCAGGTTGCCGGATTTAAGGACCATCGTGTCCTCGCCCTCTCTTCGGACTTCTGATAGTCCTACAATACTCCAGCGAATCCTGCTCAATTCTTCCTCCAGTTCCAGCAGTTTCTCCTCGGTCCGCAGTGTGCGTGCGTTGTACGTTGCCAGGGCCAAGGTCGTTTGACGGGGGATTTTTGCCGCCCGGGGATTCTTCGCACCCCTGGTCCCGGCGCCGAGTCGGCGTCCGTCAGCGCCGCCACGGACTCCAGCACCGCCGGGCACTTGGGGCCTCTTATCATGTACTATCATTTTAGGGGGGGTTTTGGGCCGTCTCCCACCACGCTGGCCCAGTGCGGGTTGGTGGGGAGCGCCAGAGCCTCGTCCGTTGGTCGGCAGGGTACACCGCGGGCAGGTGAGGTTGGCTTGGGTGCCGTTGGGTGTTAGGCGGCACCCCTCATACCCCCTGTGATTATACTCCATTTAATTAATTAGATTTTTATTAATTACTAGCTGTCCCAGCGAACTTCGTACCGCCATAAAAATATTAGTTGGTGGTAGAAGGGTGAAAATTAAGGACTGTATGTATTTTTGTATGATGTATCATAAAAAAATAAAATAAAAAAAATATTGTCAATAAAAAAAATAACATTAAGGGGGATGGAAAATAGATGTTGTCCGATTCTCGACCTACTGAATGTGCATATAAAATTTCACGAAAATCGGTCGAGCCGTTTCGAAGTAGTTCAATTACGCACACTGTGACACGAGAATTTTATATATTAGATTGATTTTGTAACATTATTATTATTTAAATGTAATATCTTAGTGTTTGGTTAATTAATTAATTATTGTATAATTTTTGCTTTGCCTTATCGGGGTCTATGTTTGGAATTACATATATAATTTGTAACCAACTGTAATGGACAACATAGAAAATGCTTGAATCTCCACAGAACCCCCAGAAGAAGAGATAACCACGGAACCTATTATACCCGGATTATCGGCTTACACGCTTTTAATCCGTATAACCGGATTGGCTGACAACTTCCGGCCGCCCGCCGCCGGAAGTCGGGAGTATGAAGACCTTAGTAAACAAGTGGTCGATAACTTGGAAAGGGAAATCGGGAAGAATAAGGGATACCATGGGATGGTGGTCAATGGATTCATGCAGTAAGTGTGTTCAAACAGAAATATCTATAGTATTTTTTTTTGTAGTAAAACTTTTCTTTAGATTTAAACATCTAGCAGTTATTTGCTTAAAAAAATAAAAACATTTAACTATAATTGATATTTCTTCTTTCAAATGTTTAATACTTGAAAAAGTATTTATTTGACATTGTGGGTTACCTACAATGCGAAGAGCTGGCGCTGCCTTGCAGCTTAAGGCTAGGAAAATTTCGACGCGGCCATCAGGGCCGTGGTAGCATTATTGGTCAGTGCATTCGCCCGGATTGCGAAGGGTGCGGGTTCGAGTCCCGTCCTCTGCCTGGTCCGCGTTATTTTTTTCTAGTTAAACTTTTCTTTAGATTTAAACATCTAGCACATAAATGCTTAAAAAAATAAAAACATATCTATAGTATTTGTCACAAATAAATATTTTATGATGTTATTCGTTTCATACGCTTGGAAATAGGTTCATACATTTTTCAGTTTAGCGTAAACGTTTTGCATTATGGAATCTTTGTTCAAAATTTGTTCATTATGTAGCTCATTCACAATAGAATAAATACTTAGGTACTGAAAGCATACTATATTTTGAATAAAATCTATCCGGGTGGAATAGCGATACAAATGTGGGTTCGAATCCCGTCTGATGCCTGGACCGCTGGATTTTTTTCTAGTAAAATTATCATTAGAATTATAAATCCAGCAGTTAAATGCTTAAATATAAACCAAAATATTACATAGTGATAAAGAATCTCAAATGGATAAAGGTGGCTTTAGATGGCTTCACTTATTTTAAAGTAGTTTTTAACATTTATTAAAAAAATACGTTCTGGACTGATGGAGAATTCCTTATAACCTTAGGCCTATCTTTTCTCCTTTCTTAGCACAATAAAGTTTAAAAAACACACTAACTGCTTTATTCCGAAACGGGGAATAGTCTTAGTTAAACCTCATTAGGTTTTTTTCTTTTCGTTTTCAGAAACATTTTCTGTCTTGTTTTTAGAAAACAAAAGTGACATTGATATCGATTCAGGCGTGATTCTCTAAACTTAAAACTAAATTTAACATCATTCTCTCCTTTTCATTCTGTAAAGAGAATGACAAGGATATACTGTTGTCAAATTTAAGTTTAGGTTTAGAGAATCATGCCAGAATCGACACACCACTGTCAGGTTTAGTCCAGATTTAATTATTAGTCTACGTTTTGTCTCCGTGTCCGAGTGGTTTGTACGCCGGGTTTTATGGTGTCGCCGACTCGAGAGGTCCCGGGTTCGAATCCCGATGGGGGCAGATGTTTGTGTGATGAATACGAGCATTTGTACTCCGGTCATGGATGTTTTATATGTGTTTATATATAAATGTATTTATAAATGTACAGTATATGCATTCTATTCGTTACCCTAGCATCCCATAACATAAGCTTGACAGTGCTTACTTTGGGGCTAGGCTAATTGGTGTGAGAGTTGGAAATATTTATTTATTATTTATTTATTACAGGAACGAAACGAAAGCTATAATCGCCGAGTTGACGTTGAAATCGATCGATTCAAACAGTATAGAGGGTTCGAGCGCTCGCTCGCTAGATAGCGCTGTCTCACTCTCCACCAATGGGACGGAAGAGGACGAAGATATGTCGCGGTGGAAGAGAGTCGTAAGGGACACTCTGGCGCAAGGAAAAGTGGGCAATTTGAATGTGGACCCGGAGTTTTTGGTATTCGAGCCTCAAAGCTGTGAGTTATTGTTGAGTCATAAACTATTTGTGAATTGCAGTAAAAATACGTTCGTCTTGTACAACGGTTTATTGAAGAAGGAAGGATGACACCATACAAAATTTTAATAAAACAGTTGTGGATAACTTCATAATAAAATATTAGCATTGTTGAGAAAACACATTCTTATTACTTAGGATTAAGGTTGAAAGTAATTTATAACACCTATAAGACATACATTACAGTTTTCTTATACAGTGGAACGCAAAGAAACAAACTGTACTCTTAGCACGAACCAATATCGAATTCGAATGGTTAGCGAATCCGAAGTATCATTATCAAATTTTGTATGAAAACTAGAACATTAACGCCATAACGTACGTAACGAGAACTAAAAATCAGTACACATTTGACATTGAAATTTTGTACTCGCAAACGATACGAATTCGATGATTCGTGCTAAGGGTACTAATTCGATTTTCTCAAAAAGTATTTAACTTACAGCCACTAAAGTTATACATACGGAAAGTGCGTTCCATATTGATTAAAATGAGTAAATATTTGTTTCTTAGGTTTTCACGCACATCACTCATTAAATAAAACTAGTTTTTACGGGTTAATGCACGAAACTTTATTTATTTATTGACGTTTCGCAGCCTTTTCAGGTCTGCATCGTCAGAATAATGATTTTTTTATTTAAAATTGTCGAGCTACCTTCGAAAGACTTATATTGAGCGTTCGGTTATTTCATTGGAAGAACAAACTCAAGAGAGGCTTTTGTTTCGCCGGTTCTTCTCAGGAAGGTCTCCCAATTTTGGAACCGGTGGTAGTTTACGGTAGTTAGGGTCAAATAAATAAACTCAAAATTACAAACAAGAATTTTAAATAAAATACTTTATTAAGTAAATTAAATAATAAATTCATACATAGACAATAAAATTTCAAAAATCTTCCAATGAAATAACCGAACGCTCAATATAAGTCTTTCGAAGGTAGCTCGACAATTTTAAATAAAAAAATCATTATTCTGACGATGCAGACCTGAAAAGGCTGCGAAACGTCAATAAATAAATAAAATTTCGTGCATTAACCCGTAAAAACTAGTTTTATAAAATGAGTAAAATTTTTATTCTTAACTTACTGTGTCATCAAGAAAGGAATACACAATGCTTGCGATTTGTATTTTTTTTTATAAAGTAGCAATTAACATTCTTTTTTATGAATTGAATATAGTCTGATATTAAATTTTCTTTAGATTTAAACATCTAGCAGTTAAATGCTTAAAAATATATCTAAAAATGCTATTTCTTCTTTCAAATGTTTTTAATACTTTTGAAGGTTCATTGTCATTTTGTCATTTTGGGTGCACAATGCAAGGAAATAGTGCTGCCTTGCAGCCTAAAAAATACTGGAGAAATTCGAAAACTATGGCCAAAAACTCAAGAAATTATAAAAAGTATCAACAATTTTGATACTTCTTATCATTCTTTTAGTTTTTGTTTATAGTTTTCTCAGGCGTGTGTTTCTTGCTACCATTTTTACTACTGATCAACACAATTGGAAAAGGACTCTTCTTTGAAAAACTTTATTGAAAACTTTAAAAATATATAAACCTGTATATATTCCTATTCATTTTATTCATTATGAAACGCACTTTCTGTAAGTATAACTTTACTTTATATAAATCGAGTCAGTTTTTTTATATATAGTCAGGTAGGCAAATGACTCTACCCCAATTTCCAAGGCATTAGCGAGTGACCCGATTTATTTGCTGTTAATAATGCGATTCAAATAAGAATAGGAAAGCCAATGACCTCTATATGTCAAATGTCGCTTGAAAAGTACGGTTTGCAAAAAAAAACTTGGAACCCTTTTTTAGCACTCCGCTAATTCTAGAATAAATACCAAACATTTGTAAACAAACAATAACAAATATTGATAATTAATATTGGTAGATATTTTTTTTCACTTATTGAGCTTTGGCCATGAATGGTTGATAACCTAAATCGTAAACCAAATGTCACTTTAAGTTGCGTTCAGAAACTCGACTTCAAACTTTCGTTTACATAAAGGATGCATGTTCGTATGTGACCTAGTAATAGTGCATAATCATAACTACTCCGGCGGTAATGCAGAAATGAGCGGAATAGAAGAGCTAGATTCTGATTAATGTTTTTTCTCACAGTCTTAATAAATAAATATTATTAAAATTCGGTGCTTTTTTTCTCAATCTTAGTAAATAAATGTCATTAAAGAAAATTGATGTTTTTTCTCACTTAATCTTAGTAAATTAGTTTTATTAAATAAAAACTTTTTTTGCTCACTCTACCTATTTGGTTTGAATTGACAGCTATGACATCACAATATGGCGCCCTGTCGGTCCTATTCTTAGTTGAATCGAATTAAAGTGTATTTTTTGGCGCATTTTTGATGAAATGCTCGTTATGTTTAAATTATTATTTTATTTTTCTTTCATTTCTTTCTTCAGTTGATTTTCATCCTATTTCTTTCCCCGCAGTATTAATAAATCGGCCGACTGAAGAAGAAGGATCAGGCAACGCTCGCTCGTTCTTCGGCAAGGCGGAGACTAAACTATACGTCGTCGTTGGTTGCGTCGCGGCATTGGTGTTGTTGGCCGCCATACAAGCTGTGTGTACTCTAAGGGCCAGGACTACGAGACAGGTATGGAATGACTACATCGCGGTAACGAAATTTGGTGGCGCAGCTATAAATGCAGAGCCGATTATTATACAGACAGAGACTTATCCACGGTGTCCGTCAGCCAGTGTATATATGTATTGTCGCGTGTGACGCTCGTAGCGTTTTAGCCTTCGCCGAGTTATCCTACAACTTGCATGCTCGTCCGGAAGAGCTGCGCACGCCTCTTACACACATTTCCATTTCATTTGTTCCACAGGATTTTTCCATTTACACCCTTCACATAAAAAGCACTTTGTATTTTAACACATCTTTTCTTACACTCACATCAATTACCCTAGCCCTAGTAAGCACTGTAAGGCTTGTGTTATGGGATACTAGGGTATAACGGATAGAATACATATACTGTACACATTTAAGCATATTCATATAGAAATACATTTAAATATCCATGACTGGAGTACAGATCCTCGTATTCATCACACAAACATCTGCCCCCACCGGGATTCGAACCCGGGACCTCTCGAGTCGGCGACACCATGAAACCCGGCGAACAAACCACTCGGCCACGGAGGTCGTCGAATATATATATATGTATTTTCGCGTGTTACGCTCGTGACCTTCTTAGCTTTTCAGCCTTCGCTGAGTTACCCTCCAACTCGAAAAAGCACTCCAAAAAGCACTTTGTATTTTTAACACATTTGTAACTAGCGGTCCGCCCTCGCTTCGCTTCGGTGTAGAGCTGAAGTGTAGACTACAGTTTTTGTTCTCAGGCTTGTATTATACACAATGACATTGATCTATGATTCTTCTTATACCTGCATGCAGTCTCAGCCCGATCGGTTTAAAATTGACAAAGTTTCATACAAACTTTCATTCCCTATTTTATCCCCTTGGGGGTAGAATTGATCAAAATCCTTTCTTAGCGGATGCCTACGTCATAACATCTACCTGCATGTCAAATTTCAGCCCGATCCGATTGGGCTGTGCGTTGATAGATCATTTGTAATTAAAATTATCCGGTCTCGCAGGACCAACTGATCCCGAACTCCGCGTGGAAGGACTATTCTTCCAACACTAACTACGCGTTCGAGCCGTTCGAGAACGACGAGAAGTACAACAGTACCTCAACCATGGCCCGGACTCGAACCCCCGCCCCGCGGCCTAATGGCCCGCCCCCGCCAAGGCCTTCTAGTGCGAGGGCACATACTCCTAACAAGGTAAGATTTAAAAAAAGCAGATCTGGATGAAATTTGATATGTATAAAAAAAATAAAAACGAGCGACTCTTACAGTAGTCGCGTATGATGTGTAACATTTGAAACCTCACCTTTCATTAGTAAAAAAAAGAAATAAAACCTACTACAAAAGGAATAAGTCATTTAAACTTTATGTTCTAAAATCAAATCAAATAGCGCTGCACTTCCCAAACTTCCTGTTACATACTTCCGTCCCACTTCACGTAATCACTCCCATAAATTGCATGAAAGCGAGAGGACAGATGTTACACATCAAAAAAAAACTTGGTGAAGGTTTCAGACTGGACTCGAACCTGCCTGTACTATAATAAAATTAGGTAAGACTTTATTTGAAATTTCATATTTTTCTTGTAAATACCAAAATCTGTGCAAATGACAGTAGATTCACGCTTGATAAGGATAGAATTCTGTAGGTATTTCATATAAGTTTGAGAACGACGTAAAATACAACATTGCCTCGAGCCAACCTCGACCAAGGTAAAATTAAAATGTTCTCTTCAAGGTTTTCAAATGCCTCGCGATCTTTTTTCAAAGTAGACAATGGCGTTTTTGGTATCGCAAGCGTCTATAGGCTATGGAAGCTGCTCGCCATCAGGCAGGCGGCCTTTTAACAGAAAAATCCTTATTTTGAATGATTTAAGGTTCAAAACCTGCCATCCTACTAATGTTATAAATGTGTAAGATTGTATGTTCCTGTGTTTGTATGTTTGGTACTCATTCACGCAAAAACTACTAAACAGATTTGGATGAAATTTGGTATGCATATCGTTTATAAGGAGCTCGATGGCGCGGGTGGTTAGCGCGTTCGACTGCGATCGTTGAAGTTAAGCAACTTTCGCAGTGGTCGGTCATTAGACGGGTGACCAAAAATCTTCTAACTCGAGCTCCTCCGTGCTTCGGAAGGCACGTTAAGCCGTCGGTCCCGGTCGTTAGCACCCGCCAATCCGCACTGGGACCGCGTGGTGGGTCATGGCCCAATCTCCCAATTCCATCTATAGGGAAGGCCTGTGCCCCACCAGTGGGGACATTAATAGCCTGATAATGATGATGATGATCGTTTATGACCTAGATTGGGACATCGGATACTTATTATCTCGAAAAAACGTTAGGTTCCTTTGAAATTCTCAAAAAACTAAAGCAAACGCGGACGAAGTCGCGACCAGCCGCTAGTAGCTTATATAATTCAAGTTTCTCTTGATTTCAGACGCCCACCAACGGCCACAAGATGGCGCCGGTCGGACACAAGATGGCGGCCAACGGGAACAACACCAACGGACGCTCAACACCAAGACACAACCCGCCCCCGCAGTACTATAACCATACTAGGTCACTGCAGCGTCCTACAGGCCAATATGGGTGAGTAGTTTTATTGAAAATTTAAGAAGACGCAAATGATTTAATTATAGAATTTTTAAACACTGTTTATTTGTATTGAAACGAAAACAATAAAATCAGTACCCTTAGGACGAGTGCGAGCTCACCAAACTATCAAATTGTAAAACTCGTGCTAAGTGTACAGACTCGCGCATGAATAAGGTTACCATTGAGGAATTTAAAAATTCCTGAATTCTGACATTTCTCAGTAAAGTCCAAAGCTTTTACTCACAACATGGTACCATTACTCATTAGTTACAATGGTACAGTATTTTAATCAATATGTGCATTTATTATTCATATTGAAGGTAATTTAAAAGATCCGGACAAAGTCTGGACTATATTTTAAAAGTCCGGACATGTCCGGATTATTCCAGAAGATGGTAACCCTACTGACGAAGGGTTCCGTACCCATTTCCTATACAGCATTAGACGCTATAATATAATATCGAACAAAAATGGGCAAAAATTACATCAAGTTGTATGATACCCCTAAAAGAATTTAATTACTTTAAAGTTATTAGAAGTTTTACTTATCTATACATTATAAGCACAGAGATAAATTTCTGATTTTATCCGAAATTTTAGAGTGGGTCGTTTCGGGAATAAGGAGGGGGGGGGGGTCTATTTACATTTTTTTGAACTATTTATTTGCCGAGTGCCGAGTGTGAAGACTATATAATAACCAGCTCCTTCATTTAGAATGATACATAAAACAAGCAAGTTTAATGCTTAAAACAAAATGAAACGTGTAATAAAATATATTTTTTAGTATATTAGGTACTATGTTTTTTATCTTTAAAATTATAAGAAATAAAAGCCCCAGACCAAATATGAATATAATGGAAATTTCTAACAAAAATAAATATTGTAATAAAATATATGAAAACAATATATAAATAAAATATATAAATGTAGTAAGGTCAATAACAGTACCAAAATCACATAAGACGATATCATTAAAATTCAGCCTGACCTATTGGGTGATCTTTTTTTTTTATCTAACAGTTTTAAGGCCATTCACAAAATATAAACGAATGAAATTTTACAGTATTGTTATAAAACTAAAATAATGTTAAAACTTCTTCGAATCAAGTGTTCCAAAATTTCAACCATCAGTCCATCAGACCGTGTGGCCTAATGGATAAGGCGTCGGACTTCGGATCCGAAGATTGCAGGTTCGAGTCCTGTCACGGTCGAACAATGTTTTTATGTTTTAATTTTTTGGTTTTTGTATTTGTAACAATTATTTCTGTATTAATTTACATTTTTTATTAGTATAATAATCAATGCTTCACAAATATGCAATTTATTAATTGTTTATAAAAATATTTTCTTCTTCCATGACTTTGTAGTTTTCATTTGTATGTTATCATGTTCATTTATTGATTATTATTTAAAAAAAAAAGAAAAATAGAATTGTAAGGTGTGCCCGTGACCTCGTCTGCGTATATTAATATTATTTTCTCATATAACATTTCTTCCCTTATAAGCGTTTCTGTTGTCTGTAGGTACTGCAACCTTTGAGATTGTTTAATTAAACTTCCCATATTGATTATTTATAGGTAGTATTTAATTAAATGAGGTTTATAATTAAATACTAAATGAAGTAATAAAATAAACTCAGCAGATTTTTATCCTGAAATAATAAAAATAATTGGTTACACATAGGTACTTACTTTCATGTCGTTCTCTCGTTTCTTCTTCTCGTATGTTTATTTGTTATTGATATTAGTGTGAATAACAGCATCAATTTTCTGTTTTTAAATTCCCATGATATTTTTACACTCTTAAATTATTAATTCATTTACATACACCATTTTCTTTATTAGCTATTATTAGTAAATTGGAATTGAACATTTCTTTGTATCTCTCTTTATTATATTTTTCATTTATTCGTGTCTCTCTTCTTTATCTTTTTACATAGGTAATAGATATATGTATGTATATTTATTTGTTACCAAGTATTCTGTAGTTTCTCTTCTTTATCTTATTACAATATAAAGATATGTTATTTATTTGTTACTTCTTTTTACTAAATATTAATTTATTCGTCAGGTATTCTGCTAGAGGCGATCGCGCCGCGTACTCGCTTCCGCGACGAGGCGATCAACCCGCGCAGCCAGACTTTTACTTCATGCCGTCGCAGCGAAAATACGAAGGTGAAGTAGTCAGGGTCTACGTCGACTATAGGGACAAGGACAAGGGGGACCAACAGAATGGAAATAATAGTAATAGGGACAAGAGGGAATAACAGAATTGAAAATAATAATAATAATACACTACAGAAACGAAAAAACAAACGATTTGAAACATAACAATCAGACCAGTCTTATCGTAACAATAACATTATCTTAAGGGAAGATGTCTTATTGCTCATTGTTCGCATCATGAATTTACTCAAAAGCAAATATTGTTTCTAGTAAAGTTTACTTACATCTTAAAAATATTTTAGTGTAATACTTAAAATTTAAAAAGGGCACGCAGCCCGACGTCTACTTTATGGCGTGGCAAAGGAAACAGGAAGCTGAAGTAGTCAGGGTCTACGTCGACTATAGAGGCAAGGACAAAGGGGACCAATAGAATGGAAATGCTAGTATAGGGACAAGAGGGATCAACGAAATTGGTAATAAAAATAATAGGGACAAGTGGGATCAACTGAATGGAAATAATAGTAATAAAAGGGACAAGAGGGATTAAAGAAAATAAAAATAATAGGAACAAGTGGGATCAACAAAATGGAAATAATAGTAATAGGGTCAAGAGGGACCAACAAAATTGAAAATAAAAATAATAGGGACAAGGGATACCAACTCAAGTGACAGTAAAAATAATATGGACAAGTAAGTGGGTCTCCCACCCACTGAATTTAAAATAAAATATTACTAGGTGGACCAAAAGAATTAAATTAAACAGGAAAAAATAATGATACACCTTGGGACATAAAAATCGGACCACTCTTGTAATGTAACAATGACATTATCTTAAGAGATGATAAGAGTTGCTTAATTGCAGTCAGCCTGACTTAAACTTTATTGTATTTACGAAAGTGGAGTATGATTATGATGATTATATGATTATATACGTAATTCAGAGTGCTCTCTTAGATTACCTACATTTCAAAAACGTGTTACCCGTAGTGGTTCGATTTTGTTGTCCCGGAGTGTACATGTTAATTAAATGGAAAATTATATCACAATTAACATATTATGCTTTTTAAACTAAGTTATTTGTAGGTATTAACCCTTTAGCGTATGATTTGCTACGAGCTACAATTTTTACAGGTCATGGGAAAGACAGAAGAACCATTTTGTGTTATGTTTTAAAGCACAATGTAGCAGTAGTTAGAATAATATGCGGTGTATTGTGGTTCATTATATTTTTTTTATGTGAATAATATCATAGATTAAAATGACCTTAGGTATGTAAGCCATAATTCGTTAATAAAATTGACTTCAAGGTGCTAATTTAAAATGCTAGAATATAAAACCACAGAGCGTTTATTTAACTATATATTATCTTTTTTAACGTTTTCAGTTTTTTTCTACTTTTTTTTTTATGCAAAATACGCAATGCGTTTGACCACAATCTCACCTGATGGAAAGCGATGATGAGGCCTAGGATGGTACACGCTTGCCTAGAAGATGCCTGTTCACTCTGGCCTTGAAGATGTCCAGGTTATATTGATAATAAAGAGAATTTTTATTTAATTAATTTAATAAACATGATCCATCACCTATGTTATGAACTTAATGTCTCTGCAATAAGAGACATTTTACGAGAAATAACGTTGAAACGTTGCTATTACTATAAGAGTTATATAATTTGGAAAAAGCTTTAGAATTAATAGATATATTAGCAAATCGCCAGTTCGACTATTCTATTAGAGTATTTTTTATTTAATTAAATTTTAACTATAGTGTAGAGGGTTCTCAGGATTAAGTAATTGTGGTAATGACAAGATATTCGTAACAAACATATATTTAATTAGCTAATTTTGCACTAAACATAAAATTGAATGATTTTAAATTTTGCATGTTCGAGTTATTGTTAACCCGATGCAAAAGTAAGCCAGTCAGCTTGTTGAAATGGGATAGCGTTATATCTCTGTCTCTTTCACTGCGCTGAAAGGAGTTTTGCCATGTTACTAGCTTGCGATTAAAGTGCTTTTTATATTATGGTGACATAATAATTATTATCTGATTCCGATTAATGTAGCATTAAATATTATCTGAATATGTACTTGAATGTATGTAGTTAGTCTTAACTTAGTTTGTAGAGTGAAATTTTCTTTTACAATTTCATGCAACAAGATATTGTTATACAAATTGCAAATGAAAGTTATACCAAATGTAACTATTTATATCTAAAAGCAATTAAACAATTTTTTTTATGAAACGAGGGCAAATCAAGTTGCATGTATTTGCAAACGAAATTTTCATGGCTTACATAATGAGCATTTTGTAAGGGACTTTCAAACATTGCTTGCTTTCAATTATTTAATTTGCACTTGGCTTGTAGTTTTAACTTACTAAAATGTAATTAGAACGAATGGCATTATTAACAAAATTATTCTTGCACACACTTAACTGGATTTTACTAAAACATTTTTGGACACTTGACCCGTACGCTTTTATTGGAGTTAAATCTCTGCGCAAGGAGAATAAATTAAAATAATGTATTTCATCTGACTGGGTATTGCACCTCTGATGGTCTGCCAACCGCGCAAGGCTTATTTGTATGTTTTTTTAGTCAGTAGTAAAGGAAACTTAACTTAACTTAATGCAGGTTAACTTAGCATTCAATAATTTGTTTTTTTTTCACATACTGATTATAACTATCGCCCTGGGGTTCCGTACTTTGAGAGCAAATAACTAAATTCTTATAAGGTGGGCGACTTTGTCTATGCCCGACTGTAGAGTCGAGACGACATCCATTTTCAAATATTATCCTGTTTAAATTAATATGAAACATTCAGTTGTTCAATCCCTTTTGGAGCAGTGAACAAATTAAATTAAAAGTCAATATTCCTAAAAGATACCCTTATTTTAGGCGGCATTTAACATATTTGTAGATATGAAATTTGGCAAGCACAAATGCCATGTAGCTAAGAGCAAGTATAATGAGGTGTTTGTTAATAATGAGCAAGAGAGATCTAAAAATGTGCTTGATCGTCCTAACTTGCTTTATTCAATGTGTTGCAATAATTAAAATGTTTAATATTTAGGCATTTATTTAATGTGCCAAAAGATGATTAATAATCAAATATTATTTCGGGTATAATCAAAAAATATTTACATTTTAATTTGATTAAAACCACTCGGTTTGGTGTAATAAGTTTAGGGCATAATGGAACTGGAGTACTCGGTGTAAAAGTCCTTAAATTAAATAAAAACATTCGCATATTAGAATCCTTATTTCTTTAAACGGGATGTTCGAATCGATTTCAATTATCGGTTTATAGTAACCTAATGTTTTTTCCTTTTTTTATTACAGATTTTTGATGGAGACTACGCAGAGTAAATTATTATTAAAAAAAATAAGTTACCAAGTTAATTAATTATGATTATTTTTGAGCACCGAACAATTATTATTTCATAAGAGCAGACACATTACGCAGTAACATTATAATCATAATGTACGTTTTTTTAGTTTTATTATTTCCAAACAGATCTAGTCTCGTGTCACAGTTTTAAAATAAGTTATTATTTTCACGATTAATTAATAATATTAAATAATTTACACTACACACTATCGATGTAAATAGGTTTATATTTTACTTAAATGTATTGCACATTTGTGTTAGGTTTAGATTTAATAATTCAATAAACAATAGCAATAATTATATGACTTGATAAATTATATAGAAATAATAGATCTTTATGATCTAATATGGCCAGCAATTATCGCAGGAGCGAAGGCCAACTGTACAAAAATATTCTGTATTTAATTTTTTTTTATAATTCTCTGTCGAATGAACAAAATCTTAGGTATGGTACTTAGTTTAAGTTCATTAATGGGTACTAATTTTAAACTTAACATTTATTTTCTGTCACCTAAGTTAGGATTATAAGGTAATACCTTGTTTACGACCTTTTCTTTACTTCTTACAAATCATTATGGATTATTTTTTTATAAGTACTTAAAGTATTGAAAAAAATATGGGGTCATGTAAGCCTGAAAACAAAGTTAGTTTTTAGAATAACCAGTATTTTTTTTCCCAATACCAAAATGCTCATTATTTTCGTTATACCCACTATTTTTTAATACCTTATCCATTATTTGAGAGCTAGTTGTTATAGAATTGAGATCCATTTGCTCAATGTTCAAGTTACAATAAATTTTGAAGCAAAGACTCTCGAAAATCGAGTCAGCACATGTAGGTAACTCTAATAAGACTTCTTTTGTTTTATGTAATTTTATCTATGGGTACTATAAATATTTATTATTTGTAATTTTATATTTAATATTGATAAAAGGAATCGATAACAAAATATAGAAATTGTACAATAAACTATGTTTATCTACATTATATGTGAAAGAGATTGTAATAAGTATTCTGTTTAGATATTATTTTAACTTTATGATGATGACGATAAATGATTTATTATAAGTATGTGTTTGTCAAGCTGATAAACATAAAAAAGGTTTTAAGAAAATATTAAGTAGGTACTAATTAACAGAGATGTGCAAAATACATTATAAAAAGTATTTAATTACAAAATGTAAATACCTTGATATTTTTTTATTTCAAATACAAAATAGTTTTTCTTTTTATATGTAAAATACTAAATACAAAATACTTTAATAGAATAAAATACCTTTGGTTATAAATTGTGATTATTTTACTGGTGTTTTTTATATTCTTAGTGGCTCGAAAAAAAAAGTTGAATGTCATGTGAGAAAAAATCGCATTAAATTGGTATTGCTGTTGACTAAACTTATTTAAAATGAATATTTCAAATAAAATAGAGAATACTTTTCTAAAAAAAGTATTTAAATACAAAATGGAAATAGGTATTCCGTATTTCAAATACTGTTATTTTTAAAATGTCACATCTCTGTTTATTTATACCTTGACGTAGCATTCGAGGTTCTACATAAAAAAACTTATTTCTAATAAGTATTATGTTTTAATAAAATATAACATTTTAGTAGATAATTGTCAGCGATGGTACTGAAATACTCGAAATTTACAAAGAAAACGACCCATTTTCAATATTCGAGACAATAAGGTATTTTACTTGGCTTGTATTCCGCTATTATTTATTATTAGTATTATTTTATTAGTGTCGAGATATAGATATTGAAATAAGTACTAAAACTATAGTATTCATATATCACTTATTACTTTTGTTATAAAACAGTACTTGCAGAAAATATTGAAGATTTTTTATTGGAATAAATAATAGTTATATATAATACATAAATATATTAAATCGGAATGGGGGTTGATTAAAACGAATATTTTGCCATTATCATGATTTACTTCCATTTACATAGATTTCATTTAAATTTACGAAAATTTGTAGCTTAGATAGGTAATTAAGTAAGTTTATTATATTGTATAAAAACACACCAAATCCATGTATATAAAGCGGTATAATTTTATTTTTGTTTAACCTAATCCGTCCAAATGAAGGTGATTCTATTTAACATTTTAATGTGTTTAATTTGACATTGAATATAAATAAATACAATTATTTTGAATATAATCACTCTTTGTTTATTTTCTAACCGTAAAATTTAAATACAATTTGGATTTTTTTTCAGGTATAGTATTGTAACACGAGGTATTGAAACATTGTATTGAAAAAAAAAAATGTGTGCGTGTACTAGTGTACACACGTAAGAAGTGAAACTTCTTTATGGCCTTATTTTTTTCGAAAAATGATCTACATGCAACTTTCCAGAAATATATATATAGGCGTGCGCTAAGATTTTTCAAAAACTCACCCACTAAAGGGGTATAACTACACCTTACCTTACCTTACCTTACCGTACCCGTTAGTTTATTCGAGTCTAAACGATTACGATCTATTTAGTCCGTCAGTTAGATGATCAAAAAATAATGGACACGTATTTTTCTTTGGGCAATCAACCAAAAAATGACAAAGTCAAAGCGCGTCAAAGTTTGGGAGTAGGGGCTCGTGACGTCACTTTTAAGTGAAAATTGTACAAAAACGTGACGTCATGTGACTTTTCAAATCAATATATCTCTGCAGTGTTTATATTATGTGAAAAAAGAAAAAAATCGTGTCCAATACTTTTTGATAATCTACCTGATAAACGACGAAAAAAAATAGTCATCATCCCTATTGTTGGCATCTGTATTTGATAAGAATATTGGCAGCGATTTTACTATTCTAAAAGAACAAATAATTAACAACTTTTCTATAAAATTATTAAATAGAACTACGGTCACGTGATCGAAAACGCCTGGGATTGGCCAAGACTAATATGACGTCACACGCTAGTCAAAGTGACATTACATTATAAACCTGTGTTGTCTTTGCGTGCATGCTTTCAGAAGAACAATAATAAAAGCTCAAGGAAGAAGGGTTATTCGGATAAAATATTATTTTTTATCTGGTAATTACCGAGCAATCTCTCCCTTACCGTGTCTCTCTCACTACGGGATATTGGCGAAATTTCTGTGTGAAACGGAAACAGCCACAGAACAAAAAAAAAATCGTTTGACGTTTTAATGATAGTCGTGTGTCGTCACACACGCATACTAGTGAGACGCCATAATTTCCAGAGAAACGTTTTCGCGGCAACTTGAAAATTAAATTTTTTAATAAGTTTTTTTCTGACTTACAAAACAGAATTAAAAATATTTTTTTTTATGGACTCCATTAGTAAATAACGTGAGAACGTTTTCTAAAACTTGTCAAATGGCCTATAACAAATACATTGTTATAACAAAATAAATTATCATACTAATACATTATAGACTCTCAAGCAAAATCTCTTATTATCGATACAAGTCTCATTTTTACAAAACACAAAAATAACCTTAATTGCTTTGAGAGAATATTGGTTCGACTTTGCATTGGTTTTTGTTCGACTTAACATTATTTACTTCTATGGCCCAAAGCTAGATACATAATTATCATTAAACAATGTTTATCCAAGGAGTACCTACCTTAATTGATAAATAATAAACCGGTTCAGGTTAACGAAGGCCGGAATCTGCTGAACTGCGCTCTTATAATTGAACTTAATTGTCATTGAACCAGTTTCAAATAATGAAGTTATTAACAATGGCCTAACATTTCTCACGGTAAACAAACAAACGTGGGTATATGTACTGGAACAGGATATTATACGAAATTAGTACTTACGGTTTGCAAAGCATTTTGTAAAATTCGTAAACAAATTAATATATAGGATAATTATTAAAACTACTTTTTTTTAATTAATTAATTAAAATAACAAATAATTCAGTGTTACAAATACATACTTCAATTATGTGTATATTTTATAATGTTGGAGGTATTGAGGATATAACAAAACTATTTACCTAAGAATATTCACATAAAAATGTAACCAATAATCTTAATAATAATATTATATCATATTTTCGAAGATTTTTCTGATTTAATAATTTTATCCATTCTTTATTTAAAATGTTCGTTTATATACTAGATTTTGAAACATGCACTGGTCTAGCCCTTCCTTTTGTTAAATCTTGCAGGTCCTGTAAAAAAAAGGATTTATAAATAAGTGTCGGAAACCACATTTTTCAAAGAAATTTATTTATATAATTAAGGCAAATATGTATATCAAATATCAAAGCGAAAATTCTCCCTTTATAAATTCTCAATATAGACTTCATTAATTTTACTAATATGGTCTTTCTATGGTGCCATTATTTATAAGGCTTCAAGCCACAGCATGCCGGTTTTTGAACCTCAATGTTCAATGTACCTATTATCGTCACCCGCCCATTAATGTCCCCACTGCTGTGGCACGGGTCTTCAGTATGGATGGAATAGGGAAATTGGGCCATGACCAACGATTTACAAAAAAATGGCATACGAACTGCGTTAAAAAGTGGTTCCACGCAAACTGCGATCAAGTGGGCAGGGCGAAAAAACTGCGTTCGACACGCCGAACACGGGATTGGTTGGGATTTCCGTTTGACATTATCTTACCCAATGAATGGATAGACGAATTCATGTGCAGATATTTGATTTGTCAAAGTACTTTGTTTTGTTTGTTTTTGTATCTTATTAGTATTGAAGTTTAGTTGTATGAGTTATGTTATGAACCAGGTTTTAGCGGCCTTTCTTAGAGAGTAATACTTCCATAGTATTTCTAATTCGTTAGCCATGACCCCACCACGCGGGCCTAGTGCGGATTGGTGGGTGCTAACGACTGCAGATGCAGCCGGGACCAACGCCTTCCGAAGCACGGAAGATCTTAAGATAATACAATTTTGGTCACCCATCCCAGGACCAGCCATTATGAAAGTTGCTTAACTTCCACAATCATAAACCTATACGCGCTATCGAGCTTCTTCGATAAATGATATTTATTTTCAAGAAAGAGAGTTACCATGTGTCCCATTTCTGATCCGTGCAGCCCTCGCAACATATCATTGACCGCTTTCTCGAAGGCTTCCTGTGGGGTGCCTTTCACATCGAAGTAACGGCATTCGTCGCTCGCGTATATATTTGTGATAGCTTTTCGGTAGCACTGGAAATAATATAATTTATTTATATCATTACCTGTCAACCTCGATACTTTTCATCTAATTCATTTATCATGCCGCCCCCCCCTGGGGATGTCCTTGGTGGTGTTATAAGTATTATGTCAGAGCTATAGTTCCAGGCATACACCACACACATGCTTCACGTGCGCATTACATCCGCACGATAAACGCAATTTGAGATTTATTTATTGATGTGCCTTAAGGCTCAATTTTAATCTATGCATTGCATTGCGCCCGCGCTTTAGCTAGAGTTGAGGGTACGCTTCCTGTGTTCTGTGGTACGCTTAGACAAAAAGAAGAAAAACATAGCGTGTTTGTGGTTGGCGCAGGTCATCTGAACACTCCATCAGGATAAGTCCCGCGTCGTTGCTACTACAATAGTGATGGTGGAGTTGTGGCGGAGGAGACAGTGGAGTAGTGACTGCAAATGTACCCACGACCTTGGTCGTGCAAGCCGTTGCTTACCTACCGGGGCAATGAGGAGGTAGAGATAATACATTTCTGGTCACCCATCCGATGACTGGTCGTTGCGAAAGTTCTTGACTTCCACGATTGCAGACCCTTCTTCTTCTGTGTGCTACTCTGCTATTGGAAGCATCTATAGGCTATGGTGACCTCTTACCATTACTTTTTTTTTATAGATAGGTCCGATAAATGACTCCACCCCACCTGATGTTAAGTGAAGGTGAAGTCCAGACGCGAAGATAGCTGATACAGCAGTTCTACCTGCCACACCAGCCATCCTCACCCTGCCGGCCTGCATGTTGCTTCTTCACGCCTCTTTTAAAGGATCCCAGGTTGTAAGAGGGAGGGAACACGTGAGCGGGCAGAGCATTCCATTTGCGGATAGTGCGACAAAGAAATGTGTCACCAAATTTCTTTGTACGCGTTGGAATTGTGGCCACAGTTAGACGGTGACAACGTAGGTCAGCCAGTTGCGTCATAATAATAATATGCTGGTCTTCAACTCGTGACTCATATGCTGGTTTTTCAACATAATACATATAAAACAGTAGTTACTCACGTTAGAGTGGTTAGGATAGGAACCGTGCACCAGTAGTGAGTTGAAGAAGATGGTGTCACCAGGCTCCAGTGGAGCCACACTGACCCTCTTGTTCATCGGAGCCACTTTCTCCACATCCGGTATTGTAAAGAATAGTTGGTCCACGAAACCCTTTACAAAAAGAAGAAATATTTATGTGTTAAATCTGGGGTATATTAGATTATGTCTGGTAAGGAATTCCTTGTTGACTCGAAAGGGATTCTGAAAGGAGTTCTACGAAGAAAGGAATTGTTCTTCACCACAGGACTATTACGTAGTTACCTACGATGTGAGTGCAATAGCAACAAAAAGAGACATTCCGTCTTTAGTAATATCTTACAGTAAAAAGCATAAAAAAAACCCGACTACCCTGACAAAAAATTAATAGAAAAATTAAAAAAAAAATTAGAACAGTAACTGCAGTCGGAGAATCTTTTAGATTAAAACCTATTCCACGGAATCTGGGTGCATTTTAAATTCTGGCGCCCCAGACCATTTGGAATTGCACCCCCCACTCTGGAATTAGAAAATCAAATCAAAATATAGGTCAGAAACAAATACATTTATATGACTTCTGCCGCTCCTCGCAGCCTGTCGCTTCGGGCCGTGGCCTTTGGACTATTTTGATCGCAGCTATAGGAGATAACCTATCACTATCGGCCGCTATGTTCAAAATGGTTGAAGACAAAAAAGCTTGGGAGGCAGTGCCATCTTTTAGTGAGGGAAAGGAAAACAGCCAATACGAAGAAAGCGGAGTAGACGGCGGGATAATACCCGTATACAGTGTCCGCAGTAGGGACCTCAGACACCAGGCACGAAGGTTGTCTGGTGGCTGTACAAAAGATAGGTTCATGAGAGAAGATGATGCGCCAATGTGTTCTGCGGCGCGTTATCGAAACGATCGGGGTGGGTGCAACCTAGCTCAATTTCCAGAGGGTCATGTGGCAGGCAATATGCACCGGCTGGCTATGTGTGCGTTTCGTTTCAACAGCGACGTCTACTGCCAGAGTTGACGGGGCACGTGGGGGTTTTAGTCGATAAGCCCTTGCCTACCGTCTAGGGGAAAGCTACTTTTGGCGGGGTGGAAGGCGGCGGCAGTACGACCGCCTCTTTCTACCCTAGTGGGACTAGCGGGCGGCGGACAGGGTGGTCCGCCGTCCGCATTGCACAGTCTCACCCGTCGAGGGGGGATGCCTGGGTGCTCCCGGGCATCCCCCTAACCGCCAGGAGGAGGAGGAACCCCTGCCGGGGGGTAACGTGGAGAGTCATCCGGATCCGACGAAACCCGTTCCGGCAGGCGAGGGAGCACTGTTGGGTTTTTAGTGGGTAGGGCCCCCCCTTCATCCCGAACAGCCGCGGGATTTGGGGGGAGGAGGAGTCCCACATAACCCCGTCTCTCACCCAGGGGCGGGGTATGCGTCACGCATTTTCCCAACATTAAAAAAAAAAGGGAAAGCTACTTTTCGTCTAGTGGGTAGGCAGGGGAGAGCCCTACATAACCCGCTCACCAGTTTTCAGTAAGCAGGTATGCGTCAGGAATTTCCCCCACGGAAAAATGGTAAAATACACCTCTGCACGGAATGATCCTGCAAATGACTTTTAATTAGTTTCTTGGCAAGGCAGTTCATTTGAGGGAAGGAAGGAATAAAGAACACAGTTCTGTGGGAAGAGCAATAAATTCTATAGCGAAAGCCGTCTTGAAACGTTGAACTCGGAACTAACCGGTAAGCACTCTTCCTTATGGAGGATATTGTCCTTGTGTGATCCCGGAACTACGAAAATGCACCCGTTGTCAGCTGAAACCGGGTCTATGGCCGTCCACGAGGTCACCAAACGGTCGTATGGCTGTATGCCTAAGTAGAACGCGTCCTGAAAAAGAGTATAAAGGCGATGTCCCACGATCTGTGTCGCCACGGGCGAGGCCGCGCCGCGCAGGGTTGCCAAACGTTTGGGAACTCTAATATTCAAGATTTAGAAGTCTCTATATATGCTACGTGGTAACTAGAAATCTAGTTAATAAAACTAGTTTTTACGGTTTAATGCACGAAACTTTATTTATTTATTGACGTTTCTTTATTTATTTATCTAGTACACTAGGATATGAGATTTGAATAATGTTGAGTGTTTCTGTCATGTACACAAACCAAAAATATTATCATAAAGTAAATATGTCCAGTCCACAAATTTTGCATTATGCCATCACAAAGTGTACGAGTTTTCTATTTACCTCGTATCATGTATAGATACTACTAAATCTCGCTAAGAATCTCGCCATAAAGTTTGGATCGTAGTGTACCAGTCAGCAGTAATCACACAACACAGAAAGAGCTTAGGAGGTTGATCATATACCATTATTACGGGAACCGATGTCGGAGGCTCCGCCCCCATTACACTTCCACCTAATAGATAATAGCCAATCAAACGACGCGAAATCAAACAACCGAACCAATCAACGCTCACAGCCGAAAGCAACGACGCAATCAGATTCATGTTTTGGTCAAGCTAAGCATTTGTTCACACATAACTGTGCCACGGCAATATTATCTATACAGTATTGTGACTCAGCCCTGTCCTTGAAATAACTGCCTACAACCGAGCGGGGCGTATCCACGCGGTAGGGCTGCCTGCCTACAGTATTCTAATTTCATCTACATAATTGAGTTTCTTTCTAGTTTTGTGATTGTAAATTTTATTTCATATGTATAAAAAAATGTTGTGAATGTATTAGGAAGTGTTACATAAAATACATGTTATTTTAATTGTAATATTTAATAAAAAAAATATAGATTTGAGACAGAAAATATTTACACCTCGATTGAGACGTACGAAAAGCTTTATTATTAAATTTAACAGTATAATAAATACGCATTCGTATAAAAAATTAAAAAAAAAATGCCTATGATGAAGAGTTCAAGCAACCAAAAACATCACAATATCGACTATTGTGCTTTTCCATATAAAATTATGTAGGTATCTACTTAATTCAATCAAATATTAACAATACAAAATGCACGTTTAAGCACGGCTAACTGCTTAAAAAACAATTCACAGCGTTCGGTCGTCGCTGCGGCGCATTCGCAACTGGATGCCCATGCCCACCGAGAGTCACGCGAACTCGAGTGGCCTAGACACGCTTTCCAAGTTCCAACTGTTTGTATGAAGATAGAATACTGTATAGATAATATTACCGTGACTGTGCCGCGCCTGCACCGCCCATAAGGCCCTTCTAACCTCTTCCTGTGTTCTGTGGTAGAGTAGAAATCTAAATTACTTCATTTTAATTTTTGAATCATTTTCATATTTACATTTAGTCAACTTCTACCTGATGCGGCGGATGCCACTTGCTGCCGGGTGGTTTGTTGATCATCATGCTGTTTTGAACGCTAATCCCATCCCCAATGATCTGCGACACCACGTGCACCAATCGCGGGTGATCAATGTATTCGGAAAATACAGGGTCGAAATTACAGAAGTTCAACTGCAAAATGATTAGAAATTCAATAAATAGTATTTCCATTCTAACACATGACGAGATTGAGTCGATATGTCGGTAAAACACGCATACTTAAGTACGAAGTGCAATAATTTATGAACTTAAATGTACTGCGTTTAACGCAAATAACGCATTTATCCCGTTTAAGCGTGTTTTATTTAATGAGTGGTTTGCGTAAAAACCTAAGAAGCCATTATAACAGATAAGTAGGTATAGATATAGTTAAATTGATAAACAACGAGTTGGTCAAATTGATAACTTTTGCACGTCACAAAACTTTATTTGGTTTGATCATTGAAACAGCAAAATGTGTGTTGCGCTCGCACTTAGATCCGTATTACAGAATAAGTGTCGATCTTTACTTGAGTACAGTTAGAAAGGGATATCGCCATGTGCTTTAAATAGCGACATCCCTTTCTAACTATGTTCAAGACAAGATCAATCACTGAGAATCTTTCTATAATACAGACCTTAGTATATTTTTCTTGCAGTAAGTAAGGTTGTCAGATTCCCACGGGGGAGGCGAATGGGGTAAAATCTGACACGATGTGGGTGCCAGGAAAGGGTCGTTTCTTTCATATTTTCATTTAACATATGCTATTAAACATGCTTGAAAAAAAAGTGAAGGAAAAACTAGTCTAAATATTCATAGACATCCCATTAACACCATCCTTCAATAAAATATTTAAAATTCACAAGATTGTTTATGTAAAAAGTGTGGCAAACATGCATAGGCCCGCCTCATAATAAGTGACCACCATAGCCTTTAGACACTTGTGATCAGACCCCTCTTTCCCGGGGCCACTTTGGGCAAGTGCCCAAGGCCCCGCGATCGATAGGGGCCCACCTCAGATCAAATACAAAGTCCCTAGTTCCTGTTAGATCACCAAACGGGGTTCATAGGGGCGACCCATTATCCTAATATGCCCAGGGCCTCCAATAGGTCAAAGACGGCACTGCATGTGATACAAAAAATATCACCCGCGCCGTTGCCTACCCTGATTAGGGGTGTCCACTCTGAAAAAACATCGATGTATTTTTTGATTCGATACATCGCAACTATACATCGATGTTAATCGATGTATCGGATGAAAACATCGATGTATTTCAAACATCGAGTACTTTTTCTTAAATTTAAAAAAAAATTGTTGTCTGTCAATAGAATATTAGAAATATACTTCAATCTTAGTTTGTTTCACAAAACCAAAGGTTATTAAATATTTTTAAACATAGAAACTCGTAGTTATTTTTTATTGTCACTGCTCTGACTCTTGCGCAGTGCTGCCAACATCGGAGCCATATCAGAGAATTCGGAATGCTTTCATAACCGTAAGTAAAATATTAGTGGTCAAACTTAAGTTTTTTTTTACTGAGAAACCAAAAAGAGGATATTATCACTACTTGGTCAAACTATATTACCAATTCGATGTTTTTTAAACATCGATGCATCGAGTACATTGAAAGCTTTTCAAAACATCGGATCGATTCGATGTTTTTCATTGCAAACATCGATGTTTTCGATGCATCGATGTATATCGAATATCCCTAACCCTGATCCTATCCCCTACCCCGTGGAGCCCTGGAACTTTACTCACCGACAGAAACACAACACCACCAAAAGGTAGTGTCATTTAGGAAAAAATTAAAACGGAAGTTGTTGAAACACTAAAAGGAGTCTGATCGGTCATGGGGGTCATGACCCCCCCCTGGGCTGGGTACAGATGGACCAAACCCAGGGGGATTTTATTTAAGTACTTTCAATATTTAATATACCACGACTATAAGACCCCCCCTGGCGCCAAAGCTGGCTATATGACCCCCCCCCCCCTGGCGCCAAAGCTGGCTATATGACCCCCCCCTGGCGCCAAAGCTGGCTATATGACCCCCCCCCTGGCGCCAAAGCTGGCTATATGACCCCCCCCCTGGCGCCAAAGCTGGCTATATGACCCCCCCCTGGCGCCAAAGCTGGCTATATGACCCCCCCTGGCGCCAAAGCTGGCTATATGACCCCCCTGGCGCCAAAGCTGGCTATATGACCCCCCCCCCCCTGGCGCCAAAGCTGGCTATATGACCCCCCCCTGGCGCCAAAGCTGGCTATATGACCCCCCCCTGGCGCCAAAGCTGGCTATATGACCACCCCCCCTGGCGCCAAAGCTGGCTATATGACCCCCCCCTGGCGCCAAAGCTGGCTATATGACCCCCCCCCTGGCGCCAAAGCTGGCTATATGACCCCCCCCCTGGCGCCAAAGCTGGATCCGCCCTTGAGTCTGATCAGTGAATGCGTAAGTGTAGAAATGTGAAGGTATTGTTTTTTTGGGAGTCTAAGTGTGTGTGTATCTGTGTCTATGTATAATTATGTGAATGTGTATCGTATGTATAGGTATGTGAGTGTGTATATGTATTAATGCCTTTCTACATTTAAAAACTGCCTTGGAGTTGCTTGTTTGTTCATTGTTTGTATATTGTATTTTTATTTTATTTTCTCATGGCTGTTACTTAATTTATTCGTTGTCATTTAATTAATCATCTCCGATGTACACTTACTATTTTTAAATTAGGGAAACCTGTAATTGGCCGTAATTAACTGTAAAATACTATCTGGTATTTGTTGATGTATACGCTGTTGGTTTTCTTAAAAAAAAAATACTTAGTTCTTCTGCATGATGGAGGTAACTTCCCAAGACGGGCGCTCCATTCGAGCGGGATTTTCGCTATGCCCTACCTCTCTTAAAATTAATAAAATAAACGCACCTTATTAACATAATCTTCAGGCTTGAGTTGCTTATCTACCAGTTCTTTGTCTCTGACAACAGCCACTAGTCCTCTGGGTACAGTATTGTTGCAGATATCGTGAAATCTATTCCTGTAAGGTGTCAAGTGAGAATGAATTGAATTGAATTAGAATGAATTACTTAAAAATCTTGAGTTGTACACTAAGGCTTCTTCTACACCTGTTCGACGAAGCTTCGAAAGGTTTTCGTTACAGCGCTCGAAAAAAAATCATTTCTAAAAATGATGATCAAAAAAAAATTTCGACGGGTCACCAAACCGGCGGGGCGTGGGGGGCTTGCAAATCGTAACTAGTCTGTTGTTTTTGTTGGTGAGTTAAGTTTCAGTAGTTGAGGAGTTTCAGAAAGCTTGAGGAGCTCGATGGTGCAGGTGGTTAGCCCGCGATCGTGAAGGTTAAGCAACTTTCGCAATGGCTGGTCATTGGATGGGTGACCAAAAGCTTGTTATCTCGAGTTCCTTCGTGCTTCGGAAGGCATGTTAAGCCGTTGCTAGACAAGACCTGTATAGGATAAATATACCAGTTTGCACATACCTCAGTTTTATGAGGGTGTACATATCTATCAATCCTTTGATAACGAGGTAGCCATTGTCCTCATAGAATTTGCGTTGTTCATCGCTCAAAATATATTTATGGGGATAGCTGGGGAAAAAAACAACTGTGTAATAAATAATCTCTTACGTAAACACGTTTGGCATTAAAAGTTGAGATTTTTTTTGTCAATTCTCAAAGTATGAACGACACTGACAATGGATTATGGTTATCTGAAATAATATCCCCTGCTCCCCTAGCATGAGCACCACGATATGATATATAACTCGTTTTTATCACGCTCAATTGTCAAATTACTATGCGGTTTGAAGGTGAGATGCAATAAAAAACCTGATATAATAAAATTCTGGTGGTCATGCTACGGGGACTGGTCTGTATAGCCCTACATTTTGTTTTTCACTGTCCGAAAACTAAAAAAAAAATATCCGGCCGATTTTCCTTTTATTATTACTAATACTACTATACTATACATTCAGGCTTTATTTATGTCATATATCAATCCTGAATCGTTTCTCTACAAAGTTATCTATAATATTAGACGTGTAAATTAAAAAACATTACTAAATATGATAAAACGCATCATATGAAATATGAAAATAATTTTCACAACTCGTGTGACAGAAATCATCCACTTACACAGACGAGTAACGTTGACGGTACCAAGCTGTAAAAAAATCTTCTCCATCATCATCACCAGAGTACCGTGCTACGAAGTACGCAGGTAATCATAATAATAATCATTTATTTACTTTAGGCTGTTACAAGTACTCATGAATGTCTATAAGTTACGCCATCGGTTCGTAAATCTACGGCGGGAGACCGTGTACTGAGAAGAACCGGTAAATAAGTACGATAAATTGTTTATATGTACACCGATAACTTAAAGATTTACGATCTGATTTCAGTGATTCTGTTTTTGTTCGATGGTACATACCGCTTGATCGCATAAAAATGGTTGCCTGTAAAGTCGGTTTTACGGGCGAAGATTTTACGTGACAACGTCTTTTTCTCGGTAGAATATTTATTGATATGAATATAATTAAATTGCACAATAGGAACAAGGAATTGAATGAAAATAAGAATTGCACAAATTTTAACTATAGAAATATATTTTGTTTACTAAAACATTGTACATGTAAACTTAAACTCATCGTAACGTTACCGAGCGTTACACTTTTTCATAAGTGACTCCCAGCCGCAACCTAATTTAAGACGTTGTCACGTCAAAAACTCAGCACGGGCTGCTTTTTTCTCCCTGTTTCATTATTTACAGAGTCGTCAAGTTGAAAAATGACTTCAGGGATGATGTATGAAGTCACATTTCATTACATAACCCCTGTGAAAATTATACATTGATTGTTCAATTTCATTTTGATTGCTGTGTCTAATATAAATAAATTGCTTAGATCAACTTCAATATTTATTTTTTCAATTTACTGAGAAAGTTAAAACTTTAAATGACACCTTTTGTTCCTAACCTCCTCAATTATGATCAACTGTCACTCAATGCCTAGGTACTAGGTAGCATTGAGGTCAAACTTGAGATTTACCCTTCATAACAAGATAAACAATACCTACGACGTTTTCTAAATTCTATGGGTATGTTAATGTTTATTTAGGACAAGGCTGAATGTCATTGCATCAAAACAAAAACAACTTGCTCTGAGATAATTATGTTTGGAGGCCCTGGGGATATGTAGTTGTGGGGATCCCTATTTTCAAATCTGGAAGCCCGGGCCACTTACGGCTGGTTCCCGCTGTCGACTGGCGGATGCGTATATTAATTGGTTGTCGGCTACAGTTTTTAGCTGCATCAGCTGATCTCAGGGGATGATCGCTTCAGATGAAGCTTGTAAGGCCCTTCCGGCCATAAGCATGAACTACGGGTGTGTTTTAGTAAGTACGAGTCTGGCATAACCTTGATTCCACAACCCAGGCGGGGCTGGGAGGAATAAAAAAAAACACAGTTTTTGGCACTCTACGCGAGGCGACTGTGCACGATGGACGTCGACGAAGTTTTTGTTGTGATGTATTATTTAAGAAGAAAACAAAAGAAGAGAGCCAAAAAAAGATAATAATATATATAAATAAATAGTATATTAGTAGTACTAGTATTAAATAGTATATAATATATATATAGTGGACCAGCTGATCCGTGAGCTCAGCAGCATGCATGCGAGATGTTCAATTGAGGGCGTTAATCAAAAAATCGAAAAAAAACATGTCCGGCATCTAATTTATTTTCGAAAACCTACACTATGAACAATAAATAATAGGTTATATACATATAGTAACGCCGTTAGTATCTAATCTAGTTATAACTAGAATAAATTTCAACCGGACCAGGCAGACGGGACTCGAACCCGCAACCTTTGCTATCCGGGCGAATGCACTGACTAATTATGCTACCGAATCGAATTTCTTCTAGCCATTCATAAGCTGCAAGGCGTCTAGAAAAAGTCCGCATGGACTTTTTTCTAGTTAAATTTTCTTTAAATTGAAACATCAAGCAGTTACAGGCTAAAAAAATAAAAATTATATTTTTTTTGTTTTTATTTTTTTTATGGTACATCATACAAAAACACATACAACCCTAAATTTTCACCCTTCTACCAGCTATATTTTTATGGCGATACGAAGTTCGCTGGCTCAGCTAGTATACTTACTATATTTAGGTATTGCGTCGCTATCGCTTGCAACAGTGCCGAAAAATTGAAAACTCACAAAAAACAAGGTGTAAGGCAGCAATCTCTCCAATAAATATAATGTTAGTGACCATTAAAGTTTGAAACAATATTTAGGTATACAGGAAATTCTACTTACCCATCCATGGTAAAAGATGAAAATATCAAAGATAACATGAACAACACACAAAACGGATCTAATAATAATAACTGAAGTTTTTCATAAAGTTATTTGAATCCATAAACAGGAAATAAACAATATTAGATAGCGGTTCTCAATTTTTTTCCCAGAATGTATCTAGATCGAGCCCGTATAGCAAAAAGGCTTCATAAACATATTTACTTTGAATTTATACTCAGTTATCCGGTAGATACAGTCGTGCACATAATCACTTAGGGCCAGTTTTAATAATCAAACTCCAGTAAGGCTTTGTCCTCAATGGACTCCTAAACCACTGAACCGATTATAATAAAATTCGCACACCATGTGCAGTTCGATCCAACTTGAGAGATAGGATAGTTTAAATCTCAAATTATAGTCGCAATTTTAATTTATTGCAAATTATTACTTTTGGGCGGTACGAAGTTCGCCGAGTCAGCTAGTACTTATATATATTGGTGTCGATTCAGGCAGGATTCTCGAAACTTCAAACTAAATTTAACATCAGTCTGTCATTTTCATTCAGTATAGAGGATGACAAAGATACACTGTTGGTCAAATTTAAGTTTAGCTTTAGAGAATCATGCCCGGTTCGACACCATTGCTACCTATAACTAATTATTTAATGACCTGCAACATCAACTATAACTTGGAAAGAGTAACAGGAAATAAATAAGGCTTATACACCTTCCTCTATAAATAAAAGGCTTGTTTATACCTTCCTAAAATTAGTACCGTTTTCTGCCACGCGCCACAAAATCTTGGTAGCACTGTAAATTGAATTGTAGGAGCGAGAACACATTCCGTAACTTTTCTTAACAATAGTGGGTGCGACTGTACCAAGGAAGCATGAATGAAACTAAGTATTATTATGAAATCTTAACTTGATTCATACACAGCATGTCGACAGTGGAGAAGCAAACTCGCTTAAACGTCACTTTAGTAACTTTACAGAAACGAGGATCAAAGTTTTTTCTATCTCAAAAAAAAAACCTTAACTCGTTATGTTTTGTGTTATTGTGGGTTACCTACAATGCGAAGAGATGGCGCTGCCTTGCAGGTTAAGGCTAGGAAAATTTCGACGCGGCCAATAGGGCCGTGGTAGCTTAATGGTCAGTGCATTCGCCCGGATTGCGAAGGGTGCGGGTTCGAGTCCCGTCTGCTGCCTGGTCCGCGTGATTTTTTTTTCTAGTAAACTTTTCTTTAGACCTTAACTCGTTGTAAATGAAAAGTAGCGTCATCGTCATTTTTGGAGTGAAAACTTCTTCAGCGGCGTTGTACACTTTTTTTTATGGGTAAAAAATGTTAAACTCGCGTCAGGTTAAACACTTGGACTGATCGCATCATGACACACAATCAAATTGGAAAGGTTGTTGACTTTCAATATATTGGACGAAACATAGTAATATTGGAGTTATACTTCTTTAGGCGCGTTATGAAAAAATGATGAGAGTGAAATTTTTAGATGCGCGCGCATCACTGTAACCCAAAAGTAACAGCATGAAGTTGGCCGCGGGCGCGTTATGAAAAAATCATGTGAGTGAAATTTCGAGATGCGCGCGCATCACTGTAACACAATAGTAACACCATGAAGTTGGCCGCGGGCGCGTTATGAATGTTAGTGTCTAATAGACATCTGTTCGAAAGGTACTTTGAACGGTCCACGGAGCTCCATCAGATGATCGAGTTGTCAAAAACAATGTTGGCACGCTCGTCGCCTCTGATCACTGTTTTCATATTTATAATATTTATCCACATGTTTCTAGTTTCTATATAGACACAACGTGTTTTAGTTACTTACAAGTGCTAATTACATATGGACTAATAACTTAAATTCAGTAGTGATTTTAATTGAATATTTATTTAATTTTTCAAATTAAAACTGAACTTAATTGACTGTGTTAACTATTCTTTTCCAGTCCTTTTATTATTTTATTGTAATTATTAATTATTTGCATGCAATTAAAAAATATTTTTAATGATGCTAAAGAAGTATAACTTCTCACGCGCGTACATAAGTTACACGCATCCATTTTTTTATTTTACCGTATTATAATAATAAGTCTCTATGTAGGACGTCCACGTGGCAGCTTTATTGCGAAGAAAATGCATTTTTTTACAGTAGATGTCGCTAGGTGCGCTTAAATGTAATTCATGTAAGTTGATTTCTTTACAATAGATGTCGCTAAGTGCGCTTAAACGTGATTCATGATTATTCTGAGAGATAAACTCTTTTAATGTAATATAAATTGTCATGTTTGTGTACGATAGTGCAATAAACAAATATTGTATTGTACCACATACATGATATTACTTTTATACTGATAATTAAAGCAATTCGCAATTGCAAAATTATTCCCTAACCATTCCAAAATATCAAAAATGCACAACGTTAATATTCAATTTTTCACTTCTGCCGGCACTCCCGGAGTGCAACCCGTCGTTTTTTCTTTCTTTCTTTCTAATGGTGTGACTTCGTAATTATCTCTGAAGTCATCTTTCAACTTGACGACTCTGTATATAATAATACAGGGAGAAAAAAGCAGCCCTTGCTCAGTTTCTTGCCGGTTCTTCTCAGTACAAAGTCTCCCGCAGTAGCTTTGCGAACCGATGGCGTAGCTCTTCGACTTTCACAAGTGCTTGTTACAGCCTAGGCCCTAGACTAAATAAATGATCTTTGATTTTGTTTATCGATATACTTATAGGGGTAGGGTGATGGAAGGGGTGATTTAACTATAAAACTTTATATTTATTTGCTTCGAATTTTGCAGAATTATTTTAATCGTTTATACTTACAAAGCCAACATTATCGCGAGCTGATTAATAAAGACAGGAAGTCCATTTAGTATGTATCTACTAGTGAAAAATAGGTTATTTCTCATTATGTTAGGTGACCCTAATAGTAACACGAAGTAATATAATATTTAAATACAGTATAATTCTAAGTATTTCATTAAATTTCAATAATCTTAAATACCTATTATGATAATTTATTTTTCTTTATTTAATAAGAAGGAACTTCAGCACAGTTTTATTGTAAGTACTTCGTTTAGGATTAGATACTGCGAGTAGCCGATTTTTTTGCTCCTGGGTTGTATCTATCTACGTTTATAAACACCAAAATTTCTTCTTCCACCATTCCCGCAGTCAACTCCTGCATAGTACATCGCGCTATCACTTTGTGATTATTATATATATTTTTCAAATATTTCTCGAAATGACATACATAGTAGATAGCAAAGTTTATCGTTTTTAAATATGAAAAAAAAAATGGATAAAAGTATTTGTTTTGAAAAAAAAATATTGTTAATAGAAAATGTGCATTTTGGAAATGGATATCAAATAATATTTTATTTTTGATTCACTATTTTAGCGATAATGGCTTACACATTAAAAATAAATATATACTGTCATGGACTTTTTTGAGATACGTTTAAAAGATATATTTCCACTATACATTTTAATAATGTAACTTTTATTGTTTTTGCTTCTGCCCCTAGCCGCGATGCATTCATCGAAGTCTGCGACGACGATCTCTATCCAAAATGCTGAAAATTCTGGTAACTCTTCCTATAAGCGGACATCAGAGAGCAAAATACCGGTTTACTAATTTCAAGGGGGAATGTAAATTGAGGAGCTCGATGGCGCAGGTAGTTAGCGCGTTCGTTGAAGTTAAGCAACTTTCGCAGTGGTCGGTCATTGGATGGGTGACCAAAAATCTTCTATCTCGAGTTTCTCCGTGCTTCGGAAGGCACGTTAAGCCGTTGGTCCCGGCTGCATCTGCAGTTGTTAGCACCCGCCAATCCACAATGGGCTTGCGTGGTGGGTCATGGCCCAATCTCCCTATTCCATCCATAGTGAAGGCCTGTGCCCCAGCCGTGGGGACATTAATAGGCTGATGATTATTTTTTTAGTATAATGCAAATTGTACGTTTGGTGCCCCCTCTTAAATTTCAGGCTACGACCACGCATGCCAACCTAGCCGAGGACTCCATTAAATAACATCATACCTTATGGTGATGCGTTTCTGTTGATGTGTAAGGTTCCAAGGCTCCACGGGGTACGAGATTGGATCATGGGGGTCTAAAATGGCGACATTGGATCACACATCTAAGCAGTGCCGTCTAGTGTTGTGTAGGACTTACAAGAGGCGGTACATTCGTCCCGGACATGACGTGAAAATGTAAGAGCGGTTCGAAATTTTAAAATGTACTACTTCATATTTTATGTCGCGACAGTTGCGTCTTGTTACTCACTCTATCTGCCTCTCTCCCTCTCTACTCTCTCAGCCTGGATGTAAACTACAGGCTGAGAGAGAGCGAGGCTGCATCGTCCCCTTCTCAGGGGACGATCGCATCCGATGAAGCCTTAAAGGCCTTCCCGGCCAGAGGCAGTCCCAACGGGTGTTTTTTAGTCAGTAAAAGTCTGACATAACCCTGCAGCCGGCTGCAGGGTATCCATGAGGATTTCTCACCCGCTCCCCCGCCTGGGAGGAAACAAAAAAAAAAAAAAAAGAGAGCGAGGAAATACATTTCATATTGTCGCGTAATTTACTAGTTTCGTTTTGAAATACGTTCGATTACGTTTAAACGTGATTTTTTTTACTCAAATACGCACGGCACTATCTAAATATCTTTAATATCTGTAAATAAAATTGATGAATTTACGGATACAATTCTTTAAAATAAATAATAGTAAATACAAAATAGTTCAAATATAATATAAATAGTTTTTACCTAGTAATGGCATTTATTATATTTTCAAGAATGATTTCGTTTTATTTTTTATACAATTTTTTTCCAAACGTGTCTTCTGCTGCCATTAAACAAATTTTATGATAATAACAACAATGTTTGTTTAAAAAAAACCAGTTTTTTGCGACGCGAAACATTATTTATGTCATAAAGCATCTTTAAATGTCATTTTTGTACTCGTCACTTCATATGTATTGCCGAACTTCAGTTCGCCTCGCCTCATTTAAAGTGGGACATTGTACTGGCTCAGTACAAAAAAGAGGCTACTCTTACAAACTCTTTTCCGATTCGTGTCCTTTTTTTTTTTTTTTTTATAGTTAGGTCCGACAAATGACTCCACCCCACCTGATGTTAAGTGAAGGTGAAGTCCAGACGCGAAGATAGCTGATACAGCAGTTCTACCTGCCACACCAGCCATTCTCACCCTGCCGGCCTGCATGTTGCTTCTTCACGCCTCTTTTAAAGGATCCCAGGTTGTAAGAGGGAGGGAACACGTGAGCGGGCAGAGCATTCCATTTACGGATAGTGCGACAAAGAAATGAGTCACCAAATTTCTTTGTACGCGTTGGAATTGTGGCCACAGTAAGACGGTGACAACGTAGGCCAGCGCGCGTGGTCCTCTGAAGGAAAGGGGAAGGTGGGATAAGAGAGAATAACTCCTCAGAACACTCGCCGTGGTACAAACGATAGAACGCGCTTAGTGACGCCACGTCACGGCGTAATTGAAGAGGCTCAAGGTGTTTAGTCACCTCCTCATCGCCTATGATGCGGATCGCGCGCCGCTGTAACCTATCCAAAGCATCGAGCAAGTACTTGGCGGAGCCATCCCAGAGGTGCGAGCAATATTCCACGCAGGACCGCACTTGCATTTTGTACAACAAGCACAGTTGATCGGGCGTGAAAAAACGCCGCACCTTGTTCAGGACTCCGAGTTTGCGTGAAGCTGTTTTGATCACGGTTTCGATGTAGTCCTTTGGATTCAGGTCTGAGCGAACTTCCATACCGAGCATGGAAATGTTGCTCTGCAGCGGTAGTGTTGTGCCCTGAAGAGATGGAAGGGGAAGGAATGGCGATGTTTTTGCCGTGAAAGCGCAAGCCTGAGTTTTCTTGGCATTGAACCCAACCAAGTTCCTGGTACCCCATTCGGAAATGTGTTCCAAAGCCTGATTGAGTTCAATGACAAGATTTTCCCGTTTCTCCCTGGTTACTGCCTGCCCAGCCGCTGCTTGTCCGAGATACCCCGCATGCACTGTACTATCGTCTGCATAGCAATGAATATTCCCAAGAGGAATCAAGTCATTGATATGCAGCAGAAAGAGAGTGGGGGATAGGACGGAGCCCTGGGGAACGCCGGCATTCACTGACATGAACCGCGAACTGCTACCATCCGTAAGGACACGAATTCTACGCTCATGCAGGAAGTCAGCTACCCAAGAACAGAACTGGGCTGGCAGACCGTATGCCGGAAGCTTGGAGAGAAGGCTTTTGTGCCAGACCCTGTCGAACGCCTTGGCAATGTCAAGGCTGATAGCCAACGACTCGCCACGCTTGTCGATAGCCTCACCCCAGATATGAGTTAAGTACGCTAGAAGATCACCCGTCGATCGTTTCGGTCTAAATCCATATTGACGATCATTAATCAGGGAGTGATCCTCTAGGTACCGGGTCAGATGGTTATTAAGGACCTTTTCTAGAACTTTACATAAAACTGAGGTGACTGCTATTGGCCGATAGTTTGCCGGGTCTGAGCGATCCCCTTTTTTGGGCACCGGTTGCACGTTAGCATCTCTCCAAGTCTCCGGCACACGCCCCAAAGAATACGAGCATTGGTACAAGCGCGTGAGCACGGGAGACAACTCCGCTGCACATTTTTTAAGTACTACTGCTGGTATGCCATCAGGTCCACTAGCTTTCCGGACGTCGAGTGATTGCAATTCGGCACGAACCTCACGCTGCCTGATTTTAATATCAGGCATCGTTGTGCCACAGGTAATGATGGTGGCAGTGCATTGCAATCATCGATTCGGGAGTTAGCCGCAAAGAGTTTTGCCAGTAAATCGGCTTTCTCCTGCGGCTTATGAGCTAGTGTTCCGTCTGGGCATCTCAGAGGTGGCAGCGAGGGCTGGCAGAAGTTTTTTTGCACGGCCTTGGCCAAACGCCAGTAGCTACGGGAGCCCGCAGGATGCGTTATAAGTTCCTGGCCAACACGTGCAACACGCTGGGCATCCGCTCTGATGTAAGCCTTCTTACAGGCCTTGGAAGCAGAATTGTAGGCTGCTTTGAGTGAATCGACCCCGGGATCCTTGAGAGCGCGGCCTCTGATCCAAGCACGATATGCCGCTTGCTTACGCGAAGCAGCTTCAGCACAGTCGTGATTGAACCAGAGGTTACGTGTGCCCTTACTGATGAGATCAGAATGAGGAATATAGTATTCCATACCCATTATGATCTCCTCAGTAATGGCAACGGTACTGCCCGATAGGTCCCTGTCACTGAAGCAGCGCTGCTTCCAAGGGACGGACGCAAAGTAATCACGCATACCGTCCCAATCTGCCGACCCATAATGCCAGATACGGCGCTTGACCACTGCTGGACGCGGAGGCTTGGCCTGTGGTGCTTTGGCAGATATCAGGCAGTGGTCGGACGAGCCCAGGGGGGCTCTTACCACAACCTGATAGCCCTGTGGATGGGTCGTGAGCAGAAGGTCCAGTAAAGAAGGCGCTTGACTTGGAATATCTGGGATCCTGGTGGGCTGATCAACCAGTTGCTTCAAGTCATGCGTGAGAGCGAATGTGTGAGCAGAGATCCCTGCATGGTCAGTTTTGGAAGAACTTAACCACAAATTGTGGTGAGCATTAAAGTCCCCCAAAAACACCAATTCTGCATTGGGAAATCGCCCCTGCGCGTCATCTGCTGCCCGACTAAGGTGTTCAAAAAGTCGAGTTGTCTCAACTTCGCCGGTGTGGGATCTGTAGAGGCACACGTAGACTCTGGCCCGGGGGCCAGAGTCGACGTGTACCCCCAGCATGGAGAAGGAGGGATCTTCCAAGCAGCGGAGACGGCGACAACAAACATCCGCCCGAACATACAGGCATACACCGGCTTTCGCTTTGAAGGACTCTTCAAGCACGTAGCCGGGATAATTAAGGTAGCCTGTGTCAGCAGGCGGAAGTATTTGTGTCTCCGTCAGGAACAACAATGCTGGCCGTGCTGTCTCGAGATGGTGGTGGACAGCGTTGAGGTTAGAGTGGAGTCCGCGTATGTTGCAGAACTCGACCTCAAACAGCGTTGAAGGCGTGGGGGTGTGCACCGCTGTACGTCCAAACTTTGTTATTGAGGCTGCCATGGTGGAAGTGAAAAAAAAGAGACGCGAAAACGAGCGGACGCCGTCGTGAAGAGTCCGGGCAAATAAGGGGGGTTGGTCTTCCCGATTGACTGCCTGCAGTGGATATGCGCCGACCCGCCGGACGGAAGGGCCCCCGCACCCTCCCGGGAGTGGCCGCCGGGACCCCACGCCCCGGTCACCAACCGGCACGACGGTCCACCCCGAGATTATGCGTGACATGATGGGGCAGCCTCGCGAACTGGTTAGGAACGCTCGGGCCCCTGTTCTGTGCCACGGGCGGCCAGCGGGACAGCCGTTTCTACGGGTCTCCCTGGCCGGTGGGTCGATGCAGTCCTCCCGGCATCGGTTCGACGGATGCGTCGCCTGGACCGAATCCTTCGCGACAACTTCCACTCGAGCTCTGGTTGTACGCTGGCTGACCCCGAAACGCGCGAGAAGCACTTCACGAGTTTTTCACCATGCGCACGGTGGTAACAAACCAGGCGGGTGTTAGGCACCCTACCACCAGAAGAGCGGATGGAAGCTCCGACATCCCTTAGTCGCTTCTTACGACACCCACGGTAAGAAAAGGGGCGGTGAGTTGTATTCTTTCTCCGTCACCGCACGGATAGCCTACCCAACACTAGTGCCGTCTTAGACCTATTGGAGGCCCTGGGCATATTAGGATAATGGGGCCCCTATGACTTCCGTTTGGTGATTTAACAGGAACTAGGGACTTTGTATTAGATCTGAGCGGGCCCCTGGGCACTTGCCCAAATTGTCCAATGGGAAAGACGTCTGCATCTAAGCATTCAGGTACAGGACTGGAACCTGCACTCAGCTATTCGCTTGCGATACCAAAACATCATTCCTATCCTGACCCAATCCCCTTTACCCTGAGGCGCCCTGGAACCTTACATACTATTACCATTTTACAAATTGTCTGAAAAATTATGTTAGAATTGACGTTTCATGCATGAATCATTCTGTCATTATGAATCATTCTGTCATTTTAAGATTTGAAAAAAAAAATATGTGATCTTGCTATTTAAGATCCACGGGTCGGCAAGTTAAGTACATTAAATATGTAATCTTGCTATTTAAGTCAGTAATTCAGATAACTTAACACAATGAATAACAATACACAAAATATCAAAAATGCACAACGTTAATGTTCAAGTTTTCACTTCTGCCGGCACTCCCGGAGTGCAACCCGTCGTTTTTTCTACTGTTATGATTACAGTAAGACAACACGCGACTTTATATGACATTAAACATCTCCGAGTTTGGCCGTAAATTAATATTTAAGTGCTTAACGTACTTAGCAGTTGTCTTGCATCACGAAATTAAACTCGAAATAACATTGCAATAAAAATATATTTGATTTCATTTGTATCAAAATGTAAACCCGTAATAATATCATAATAACAATACGCCAATATACAACACCTAAAAACTATTTGCTCCCTTAATAGACAATTGTAAAGACTATTATTGTATAACATAAGGATTTATCACATTTCTTTTAGCTTATAAAATATGTAGATTACCTGTTTTCAATTAGTAATTGTATCAAGAAAATGTTAGATATGGGCGTTTTTAGATATTTGTGAAATCGATGCACATCGGTATCAGATAAATCGCATCCGACGCGCGCATCGATAAATATAAATATTTCCAAAACACACACCAATTTAGCCTAGCCCCAAAGTAAGCACTTTAAGGCTTGTGTTATGGGATGCTAGAGTAACGGATAGAATACATATACTATACATATATAAGTATATTTATATAGAAATACATATTCAACACCCATGACTGGAGTACAAATGCTCGTATTCATCACACAAACATCTGCCCCCACCGGGATTCGAACCCGGGACCTTTCGAGTCAGCGACACCGTGAAACCCGGCGTACAAACCACTCGATGCCATTGGATGCCATGCGTCACAAGAGAGAGATAGCTAGCGGTCTCTCATCTTCTTTCTCTTTCTATTAGAGGGACACATCCACTTGTATTAGTCTATATCTCCCATAGCTCTATTCTTATACCTGTATGGTGACGTCACATGCATAATACAAAATATCTTAACGAAAAAACTCAGTGACATTGATTTTTTTTTAGTTCTATTCTTCTCTATTGAGAAAGGCAAAGGCCATCGTCTTATTTTTGTATTAATCTTCCTTTTTTTACATTAGAATGTGGGTGTGACGCATTCTAATGTTTTTTGGAGTGTTTGGCACGAAATATATCGAGTTGGCTTTCTCGATAAGCTACTGTAAGGTAGTCAATACTACAATAAAGTTCTCACGTCCACTTGACCGGAATAGCGTATATTTTAAAGATTCCACTAATTCACATCAATTGTGAAATAACAATATCCACTATGAACCAATTTATGAGTAATTAAAATAAGACGTCAACCGCACTCGATGAAATCCCGCCAAAAACTACCTAATGAGTCTGATCGTACTGAATGTTGACAATCGACTCTCAGTGACATTTGATTTGATCATCTTTTGACAGCTTGGGTGCGTTACTAAACTAGACTCGAAGTGCAACTTTTCATTCTGACGCGTCATTTTTGACATAAATGTATGAAACTGCTATCGAATTTGACATTTGTAACGACTGGAGCGCAGGTTTGGAACGCAGCCTTGTTTTCTTGCTACAAAATTTAACTTTAAGTTGATTAGAGAAAATCAAAACTTTAAACCGTAGACACTCTGATAACAAACAAAAAAAACAGATCAGATTCTCTGTCTATGCTTTAAACTTTATAAAAAACAGTAGAAGGCAAGCGAGTCTTAGATAAATCTTCTTTCTAATCCTAGCCGTTTCCGCTGAAATGTCGTGATGTGAAGAGAGATAAAGAATTGAAGATTTTCTCACATTCACAGATGGCTCTTAATTGGTTTGATCGGTACACTTTTGTATTTCCAAACATCCTGAAAAAAAAAGAATTGTTGAATAGTGACTTTTACAATATTAGTAGTAGTTTAGGAAAGTCGATCTTCTGGGTTATGGAGATCGATGGCGCAAGTGGTTAGCGCGTTCGGCTGCGATTGTTGAAGTTAAGCAACTTTCGCAGTGGTCGGTCATTGGATGGGTGACCAAGTTGGTCCCGGCTACATCTGCAATCGTTAGTACCCACCAATCTGCACTGCGCCTGCGTAGTGGGTAATGGCCCAAACTCCCTATACCATCCATAGGGAAGGCCAGTGCTTCAGCAGTGGGGTCATTAATAGGCTGATGATGATGATGAGGAAAGTCGATCTATTTGAATACTTTTAAAATAATAATAAGTAGAAAACTGAATTAACAAAATTATAATTGAATTTCCTTAAAATTAAAACTTGAGAGAGGGAAATGTTAAAAATTAAAGGAAGGATGACTAGGAGGCTATGGCGTCATGCCATTAGCCGCAAGTGCGAAAGAGATAGCATGCTGTTTCCACCCATAGATGCAGAGGATTGACTGAGCATTTCCTGCCTAACGAGGGCTACCGTTTTCTGTCTCACCAGGTGGCGCCACTGTTGAGTGAGGTACTGAATTGTAACTTTATAAAAGTTTATTAATACGCGCATGAAATCAAAGCTAAGAAACATTTCAATACAAAATAACCATTTCTTAAACATAATCGGCCATGCCACAGAGTGATGCGCAGTTCCGTTTTGTTCAGAAAAAAAGGAATACATAATAATTTTTCTTAGCTCCGCTTTCAAATAACTGACATCCATTGCCACGCCACGTAATTCATATTTGCTTTATCTAAGCCGAGTTATTACCTAATATTCACTCGGCCATGGAGGTCGTCAATATTATTAAAATGTCAAGTTGAAAGTGTAAACACTATGGTTTTTCAGCAGGCACGTTAAGCTGTTGGTCCCGGCTGCATGCAGATGCATTGGTGGGTGCTAACGACTGCAGAGTCGTTAGCACCCACCAATATGCACTGGGCCCGCGTGGTGGGTCATGGCCCAATCTCCCCATTCCATAGGGAAGGCCCGTGCCCCAGCAGTGGGGACATTAATAGGCTGATGATGATGATGAAAAAATATGGTTCTAAGATTATATTTTATGTATGAAAATAATTTCCGTATTTTCATCAGTGGAATCAATGGAAAAAACGTGCCCTCTTAATGAGATTTTCTAAAACATCTTAGTTTTATCTTTACCGCGAAGCTGGCTTCAAAACCCCTCCTTTTGGCTTCCTGTACCACTTCCTTGGCGATGACGTCCTGCACTGTGCCTTGTACGTCTATGTAAGTGACGTCACTACTTGCGAAATGGCACGATATGGATTTGCGGTAGTTCTGTGTAGTGGTAAAGGATTTTTTTACTTAATTTATTGTTTAATAGCAACACTAACATTGCGTTTATCATACATGGATATACATATTTTGTATTGGTTGTTTACTTGTCAACTCAACAATTATAAGTGTTGACGTCATTCATAATTATGATCTAACAAATATCGTCGACCGTAATTTCAATTGGCGTAAGGGACAAAAATGACAAAATCACTTTTTTAGCGTTCGACACACAGTTTGAAATTCTCTATCGAATGGTATATTTGAAATGTTGATATCTTGCAAAATTGGTTCGTTAAGACCCAATTTTTTTTATACTCTAACTAAACACGTTTTTGTGTAAAAAAAAAACTTTAAGGGTCTGGGTTATCCAGATTAAACGTCGTATGTAACACTATGTAAAAAAGTAGTAGGGCATAATTGATATACTATATTTTCACATCCTTTACGATCACAATACAATATTATCATTACTAAGAAATAGGTCGTAAATGTCACATCCTGTTTTCAAGCATCCTTTTTTCTGATATTATGTACGTAGTAAATGTCATACTCTGTTTTTGTGTCAAAAAAAAAATGGAAAAATGTGAAATGTGTGAAAATGGTACAATCCCAAAACGGTTTCACAAAGAATACAGTGAGTTACCGTTTATGTCCAAAGTTGTGGACACACTTCCAGAGACCGACGAAGAAGACGTAGATTTAAGTGCTTAAATTTTTATTTCGTAAACAATTGTTTTCAGTTTTCATTATTCTTTCAGTCAAATTGTATTTTGGAAAATACATACAGAGTTTTTGATTATTTAAGATTTTAGCAATTCTTTTTCTTGCTTAAATAGTAATTTCAATGATTTTGAGATAACATAACTTTAGAGAGGTCACCAAAAATTGTTATGCTGACTTTGAAATTGTTTATTTTTAGCGTGGACTAAAGATGTTAGTTATTTTAATTTTTATCATTTACATGTTTCTTAGCCAGCTATTCAAAATAGTTATGAAACGGAAATAGTTCCTTTCTGCGAAATCTGCGATTAATAAGTTTGATTTCAGTTCCGTAATGAATGATTGCCATACTCGACTCTTCAGTTAGAGAATCGAGCGTTTTATTATTGTGAAATAAAAAGAATATGACATAACTCTGTCTTCTTTTTTATAAAACATTACAAATGACCTCACAAACGAAAATATCCGTAGTAATTTAATTATTTTAATAAGAATTTCGTTTGGTTACGTCTTTCATTTATTTTTAACTACCGTTACGACCAAAATTGTTTATGTAAATTAGTAAAACTAACCTTTACTTCCCAATGGGTATGTATTGTGTACATTTTCACGAGCTGTATGGGACAGAAGTGGTTTAAATGAGGAGGTCGTAAGGGACTTTGTTTAAGAAGATAAACAATTTAGAGTATTTTCAATAGCTACAGGTTAAAGAACTCAAAATTTTATGTATGCTTTCCTTTGAGATGATCAAAATAGGCGTACAATATAAAAAGTTACAGCTGTTTAAAATAAAATTAAAACGTTTTTGGCTTCTCCTGAAAAGTAATGGTTTGTCCCTTACGCCAATTGAAATTACGGTCGACGATATAATTTTAAGGATTTAATTTAACTCTCTTAATATTACATATAAAATGAAATGAAATTAGCTTGCAATAATTACATTAAACCAAACAATGCTCGATTAATAAATAAGAATTTTACATTTAAATAATAATAATAACACTACACAAAAACAGTCTTTGCCATAGATTACACAACTTCCGTTTAAATGCTGACAAAGTATCACAAAATACATCTTACTTATTTATTTTACTTAAATTGTGACGAACACCAAAGTCAGAAATAAATATGTCACGCGTTCTTTTTGCATTGGTAAAAACAATATTAATGAAAATGAGTGCAAGGTAGTTGAAAAACGTCGGCGGTCAGAAACAACAAAATGAAATCATAAGCTATAGCAATAGCCAAAGCAATCCGGATATGCGGCAGGCCCCCAGTGAAGTGCTAAGACTGCTTGTTAGTAAAATGACGCGTAAATATGATCTTATATACAATATAGGTTCAAAAACAGATCCCTGAGGCACTCCCAACCAGGGTTACAAATTATCAAGATAATTATTTTCTCTGATAATTACCTGATAATTATCAAACTATCAAATCAAATAACATTTATATAAATGGGATATTTTCTATATTTAGTCTCAGACTCTAAGAAAGTAATGTCTTACTTTTACCTGAGAGTCTGAGACTAATTTTGTTAAAAAAAAACTATTAATTTTGATATGTGAACGACTTAATTATTGTAATTTTTGACTGCTATTACTTGCTTTCAATTTAATATAATGCAATTTTAAATTTATTCATTAAACAGACTAACAAAAATTGCGAGGTTTGTTGGGAAAACTAAAACAACTGGGCATTTGTGATTTATTTTTCTACAGAATTTTTATTTATTTCCTTGCAATTTTTTTGAGAAAAGCACTATGTAAACCTCGGCGGAACTAGCAATTGCCTGATTCGTATCCTCGCCTAAGGTTCGGACTTCAAACTCTACTCGTCCAGCAATTGCTGGTGTTCCGCGCCTCGACAACAATGTACTAATATTTTGTTTTGTACAAAAACAGTTACTCAATACGTAAATCTTGATAATTATCAACGATAATTATCCAGTGCAACCCTGCAACAACATATTTATATGTTGTTGGGAGCACTATATTTCACTATGAAGGGTTTTAAATGATAAACTTACCTTAGAAACGTTAGGCCTTGAACCATGGATTAGGTAAGGATGGAAGAACACAGTGTCTCCCGGGTTCATTTCCAAATGTACCCTGTCTGTTTCTAATGCAGCAGTTGGGTCCAATATGCCGTGGTACATTTTGTTATCAATCTACAAATTGGACAGATAAATAAAACTAGTTTTTCACGGGTTAATGCACGAAACCTAATTTATTTATTGACGTTTCGCAGAATTTACAGCCTTTAAAATAAACTCAAAATAACAAAAAAGAATTTTAAATAAAGTACTTTATTAACTTAATTAAGTAATAAATTCATAAATAGACAATAAAACTTTAAAAATCGATTAATGAAATAACCGAACGCTCAATAAAAGTCTTAATTGATTCCGACGAAGCAGCCTATAAAGATTGCGAAACGTCAATAAATAAATAAAGTTTCGTGCATTAACCCGTGAAAAACTAGTATTATTTAATGAGTGATGTGCGTGAAAACCTAAGAAACAAATATGGACAGATAAAGTTATCTTGTATTGGTTGCATAGTGATGATTAACGCCCACCTGCAGTTTTGTTAAATCTCCATTCAACTAAACCATAGAAAAATTACAAAACGTCAATGTCTATTTGACATTATTGTATGGGATGAATCTAGTTTTACTTAAATTGGGATTTAGCAAAATTGAATTTTAAAGTCAGGGGTGGAAGCTGGTTTACGATAAGATTGTACCCACCGAAGTATAGTCGTGAGCATATAGCTTCTGTTGTTTATGGCTCCCTGGTACTACATACAGACATCCGTTCTCATACGTCACTACGTCAATAGCCGTCCATGAAGCGATAATCTTATCCGCCGGCCGGAACGGGAAGTAGTATAGATCCTACAAAAAGAAAAATCTTAGGAAAGAAAATTATTATTAGTAAAATAAATAAAATAATCGGTCCAGGCAGTTTAATGCTTAAAATATTAAGGAAAAATTGTGTCATAATGAAATTATTTCTTGTATAGAATAGGATGGTAGGGTAGGAGAGGGTAAAACAGGGTACAAGAAGGTAGATCGGGATCAGATCAAAGCAGGGTTACCAGGTCTTCCGACATTACAGGAGATCTTCTGTTTTTCTTAAATTTCTCCTGTTCTTCAACATGAATCTACTACTTTTCTTAGAATACGATTTTATTTTTTAAATTTGCATGTACTGTTGCGTTTTGTGCCATTAAGAATATAGGTAACCTTAATTAAAATAAAATAAATATGTAATTGTCTAAAACAAACGAGCTTTGAGGGGCGGCTTATTTCTCTTTGATGTCATTATAAACGGATTCATTCGGTAATCATCCGTCCAGATTGGTCCGAACGTGCCCGGACTATTAGACAATAGTCAGAAATTTTGCCTGGATTTCAAAATTACATTGAGTATGAATAATAAAAGTACATATTGATTTAAATACCAAAGCAACTTGTAACTAAGTGAATAATGGTACCATTTTGTGACTACAAAGTCCTGACTTTTTTCGAAATGTCAGGACTTTTGAAATTCCTAAATGGATGTAATTTTTTGGAGTGTCTTTAAGTGTCGCCGCACACGGGCCACACGCCACAGCCACAAACGCCGCCACGAGAAGCTAGAAGCGGCTACTAAAGTGGCTGAAGCGCGCGACAGCGGCCGACTGAGGTAAGGGAGAGAGGAGTGGGGAATCGCGCGAGTGACGTGTGGCGGCGTTTTGTATCGGCGCATTAAGTGGCCGGCGCGGGCCACAAGAAGCGAGCAACGACGATTTGTAGCGTGTGGCGGCCACCGGCGTACCGTGTGTGGCGAGTCCATATAAAATGTATGAAAACTACAAGAAATATGCCGGTGGCGGCGTTTTGTGGTTGTGGCCCGTGTGCGGCGACACTAACTTCTCAATATAATCACCTGGTGTGGAGGGTGCTCGTCTGTGCCCGGCGGTTTATTGATGAGCATGCTGTGCATCCCTCTGATATCGTCACCTATAAACTGCGAGACGATTCGAAACAATCTAGGATCCTCGACGTATGTTACTAGCACGTCATCGCATAGGAAGTCTTGTATCTAAAAGCCAATAGACACAATCATCAGCCTATTAATGCCCCCACTGCTGGGGCATAGGCCTTCCCTATGGATGGAATAGGGAGATTAGGCCATGACCCACCACGCGGGCCCAGTGCGGATTGGAGCATGAAGGAGTTCAGGATAATCATCAATGCACGTAGGTATGCTCAAAATGCCCCCACTGCTGGGGCACAGGCCTTCCCTATGGATGGAATAGGGAGATTAGGCCATGACCCACCACGCGGGCCCAGTGCGGATTGGAGCATGAAGGAGTTCAGGATAATCATCAATGCACGTGGGTATGCTCAAAATGCCCCCACTGCTGGGGCACAGGCCTTCCCTATGTATGGAATAGGGAGATTAGGCCACGACCCACCACGCGGGCCCAGTGCGGATTGGAGCATGAAGGAGCTCAGGATAATCATCAATGCACGTGGGTATGCTCAAAATGCCCCCACTGCTGGGGCACAGGCCTTCCCTATGGATGGAATAGGGAGATTAGGCCACGACCCACCACGCGGGCCCAGTGCGGATTGGAGCATGGAGGAGCTCAGGATAATCATCAATGCACGTAGGTATGCTCAATATTTTAGGTTTTCATACCTTTAAATTATTTATTAAAGTTTGTAAGTTTGTTCTGTGGTTACATGATACGTTAAATATTTACTACTACTACAACCATTCACTAATATACAACAAACTTTACCTTCACGTCCCGTCTGCTGCCTGGTCCGCGTGGATTTTTTTCTAGTTACATTTTCTTTAGATATAAAAAGCAGTTACATGCTTAAAAATACATTATAAACTTTACCTTATTAACATAATCTTCAGGATTATTTGAACTTTCTTTTAGTTTTGGTTCCTTTGCAATTGTCATAGTTCCTTTGGGAACTAAACCATTGCATATTTGGAGAAATCTTTTTCTGAAAATTTAAAAAGACATAATAATTATTGTGTAGATTATTAAATTTCCATTACAATGTATAAAGTTAAAAGATTGTTTAAATCTAAAGAAAATATAACTAGAAAAAACTAGAAAAAATTCCACGCGGACCAGGCAGCAGACGGGACTCGAACCCGCACCCCTCGCACCTTAAAAGATTGTGTTTACAGGAATATTGAGATAATTTTTTATTATAGAACTCAATTGTAGCCCAAGATTGATCTGAGTGGCGTGCATTTGGAGAGGCCTATGTCCAGCAGTGGACTAAGATGGGCTGCTGATGATGATGATAGCACTCTATTAATATGTATCAGTTTAAAGCAGTCAGTTAAAATTATTCAAATTTCAAGCATAATAAGGCTGCAGATAGACGACGCGAAAAAAATTCTTCCACTCCTCGATCACACGGCGGCCAGCTGATCGCGCGATCGCTGGGCAGTTAGTTACTCACAAAGAATTTCAACGTTAAGTCGTAGTTAATAAAACATAAATCTATGACTGAACATTTATTACGCGGTCACAGCGCGGTGACCGCGCGACCGCCGCACTATGGGAACCCGCCTAAGAAAGCCATCTCATAAATGCTTTTTTCGTAACTGTGATTCGAGGCATGTATTATACATCAAATTATAGCTAAAGAGTTACTTTATTATAATCAATGTAATTTAAGTCTCTGACTCTTCGTATTTTATAAAGAAGAACATCTAAAGTCAGAGAATGAAAAAAATACAAAAATAATAATATGATTTCAGTTAGTTTGGCATAATTTTATAGTATCATAACAAAAGAAGTCATATAAGTGTGATACCATTTTAAAAAGCTTAGAATGTCTTCTTTTCTATCAAATTCACACCACCTTATTATAGGCTTTATTATTTTTATTTCAAGTATTAAGCGAGTTCTTCTCTTTGCCTACCCCACTGAGGACTCGGCTTGAAGATAGATAGATGGATAGCTTACCCTATTTATAGAAAATAATGTAATATTTATTTGAACATACAATAAATCATAAGCATACTGTTGCAACTGTGTTGCTCAATGCTATAAGCGAGCTGTGATTTAGATATTTTTTGTCCTACAATAGATAAGTAATATTTCTACAACTAATATAACAAAACTCTTTATTAAACACCACAAAACACATTGACAATAAGCACAAATCTAGTATAAGTGATGCAATGGGCATCCTTATAGCTGAAAGCGATCTCTTCCAGGCAACCTTTGTATGGAGACAAGAAGGCACTGGGAGAGACAGCAAACATAATTTAGAGTTTTCTCTAGCTTAACTTAATATTAATAAATGATTATTATGTTAAAAGAATCTCTTTCATCCTTCAACAATGAGCAAAACCATATTTGTTTTAAAACTACTTTTAGGTATGTAACTATATAAGTAGGTAAGTGTATGTTAAGAATATGTGTAAGTAAATAAGTTGACATTGTTTTTTGTTTCTGTGGCTTTCTCCATTTTACACAGAAATTTCCCCAATGTCCAGTAGTGAGAGAGACACGAGAAAGACTGCTCGGTAGGAACAGATTAAGGTGATATAAAGTAAATAACCGATTATACATTCTTCCTTGAGTATTTCACTTTTCTGAAAGCACAACACAACACACATGGACATTGTTTTTTTTTAACTTAGTCATTTGAGTTCTTTAAGTAATAAAGTCATACTTACTTGTAAGTATACAATGATTCAAAGTCTATAAGTTGACCTATGACAAGATATCCTTTGTCATGATAAAACTTTATCTGTTCCGGAGACAGCTTATCCATTATTGTATCTGTAACAAAATAAAAATGATCAATCAATCAATCAATTTTTCAGGCCCTTTTTTTTAATATATTAATGTAGCAATCGTATATTAAAAAATAAAAAAAATGCTCACTTTTCCGCTGCCTTTGTTTTAGCTTGCCTCTCAAAGGGTGGCTATTGGTGGCAATTTATTATCATTAATGATTAGGTATTGTCGAAGATAATAATTGTTTTTAAACTTTAATCTTTTAGTGATAGAAGTAACGCGAGTACATAAACAAATTGATGTAGGTACATACTTGTAAAGAAAACATTTTTAGAATTTTTAAATGAATACACATATAATTCTATTTTTCAATTTACTAATTATCTTATATTAATAAATTAACAGTTTGTTATTTCTACTTACCTTGAGTTAGACTTTTTTGTGGGGGTATACTTTTTGGAACTTAAACTCTCGACTTCTAAGGTTTTTAAAGATCTTTTACAACAATATAATATTAAATACGAAAGTTATTTAGCACCACTGCAGTATGTTACACTTTACGAACCTAATATTAACAACTATTACTGTCTGAAAGTACTTCGATTTAATTTATTTATGTTGACTTGACTTCACAGCTGATGGTTTCCACCATCGCATAAACAATCTGTCCAGAGTTGCCAGCAGTTATTTTATAATTGTGCAAGATTGCGTCTCGTCAAAATGATCACTTTCAAAATAAATCTTTATTTAGCAAATAAATAGTAGATTGATCATAAAATTATCATTTATTAAGGAAAGCTGTTACTGGCCCTGGTGGGCAAACCTTGGTTGGTATATTTGCAATCCAGCTAGGTTCTATAAAAAAATATGATTGTTTTTTTTTATATAATTCCGACAAGGACCAGGCTGTCGAAGCTGGAGTAGATAGGGTAATGCTGGCCTATGCCTTCATTGCAGCGGGCGGGGGATTCTCCACTCCGTGCCCCCCAGGTTCTAAAAACACTCTAGGGGTAGGGCAGCTAAAGAACACGGCATTTTGGGGTTGACAAAGTGGGTTCTGGATTCAAGGCATGTTTTTTTATAGAAAATTTTGGTTATTAGTAAATCAAGCTAAAGTTTAGGATGTTCTATGACTGTCTAGTAATCTCAACCTTTATTACATTGACAACTATAAAACTATAAAAAAAAAACAAAATGATGTTATTTTATCAAGAAATGTAAGAATTATTTTACTTGACACTGGCTGAACGCACAAACCGTGCATGCCATAAAAAATGCAACCCATAATAACCCATAAAAAAAGAAGAAGAAGAAATGTAAGAATTGTCTATACAGGGTGAAATTGAATGTTTCAATGAAACTTCGTGGGATTATTGGGTTACGTATATAGAGCATCTCTGAATTTTTTCGGATTTTTTAAAAATGATTTAAAATAAAATTTCGTTTTTTTTTTGTTATATTTTAATCTCCTTTTGGGTACTAAATAATTATTCTTTTTAAACACTCATACAGAGTAAGTAAAAAACAACTAATTAGCACTACTAAAAAAACGTAAAAACAGAAGACGAGCGGTCGGGAGCAATGACCGCTCCCTCCGTTGAATCGGTTGAATACCTACCTATGCGCGGTGCAAAGCGCAGTGAGCGAGCGCAGTGTCAAGTTTATCCACCGCGCGTGCGTATCTTTTAAATTTGGGACAAGAGAAGATTTGCAAATAATGCCATGATTAGTTCTTGTTCTGTGGATTCAATATAAGAAGTTGGATATGGTGTGTTGTTATTGTAGTGTCACGGTATACTCAGCAGAGCCACAAGGCTTTACGAAAGTAGGTTTGGTGATTGATTGTGTTTACAAAGTGTATACGGGAAGTTTAAGTGAAAAAAATGAATAGGTACATCGGTCTCGTAAGTACTTTTGAATACCGGGTTATAAATTTCACCCAAGTATTGAACTGCAATAAGTATTTCTTTTTGTTTAACATTTGCGTATTTCTAATCGTGACAAAATTATGATTAACTTTTAAAGTTTTTCTCCGATTAAGAGAAGATGACATTTGTGCTTATTATTTCAATAAAGGCATCTAAGACGACTTTATTGTATTGTGTGGAATCAAAGGAGTCAACTGAAATCTGTGTAGAGGTACGTACTCACTCAACGGCTGGCGGGCACGGTCGGTCGTTGACCCGCCGTGGAATTTTAATGTTTTTCCATTTTTTTGAAGTACTTATTTATTAGTTATTTTTCACTGGATATGTAAGTTTGTTTGTTTAAAATGAATAACTACTCAAAAGGAGGAAATGACATAAAAATACACAAATTATAAATAAAAAACATGAAAAAAAATACTTCAAAAAATCCGAAAAAAATCAGGCATACTCTTTTCACGTAACCCAACAATCTCACGAAGTTTCATTAAAACATTCAATTTCACCCTATATATATTTTTTTATATTTCATGTGAATCTGACTTTATTGTAAACAAATTTTGATTTGCAATAGATGTTCGCGCTATGAAAGATATATCCCACAGAAATGATTTCTTTCTTTGAGCACTTCATGAAAGCTGAAATGAAAGAGAAGGTAGCGAGTACAAAAGAGTGAGGACATGGCAATGGGATTTCGCCAAAATGCGGTATTAATACCCGAATCGGGCATCATTGCAACTGTCAGATAGGATCGCGTTCCATCCTAACTACACTCCGGTTAATTATGGGTTGCATTCCGTTACAAAATAGTACCTACATTCTTCAAGATCAAATCTAGTCATTCCGCGCTTGCTTTGCATAAATTCCTGTTATGAACGTATCAAATGAAAAACTCAAAACATGTAACATTATTTTGGTTTCCGTAGGCTGAATATTTATTTAGGAAGTTTTTTTACTAGTAAAACGAATAGAAGCTCTGATATCTTACGATACCCATAAAGGGGCGGTGAGTGTGTAGTATTCTTTCCCCATCACCGCGTAGATATAAACTTTATGAGCAATAATAAGTACTTACCTAATATCTTTATGTTTACAATGGTGTCGATTCTGGCGTGATTCTCTAAACTTAAATCTAAATTTAACATCAGTCTGTCCTTTTTATTCTGTATAGAAAATGACAAGGATACACTGTTGTCAAATTTAAGTTTAGGTATAGGGAATCATGTCAGAATCGACACCAATACCTGCCTGTGTCCGTCCGTGACGTCCAGAAGTTTACCTGCGCCTATTGCTAAAGTAAATGTGGTTCAAAATATTTTAATAATACATAACTTTGCACATATGAAATCTTTATATATATAATTCTTCTGTGAGTGTGTATGTCACTGAACTTCTCTTAAACGACTGGACCGATTTTGATGAAATTTTTTGTGTGTGTTCAAGGGGATCTGAGAATGGTTTAGATTCACAAAGACGTGTAGACAGGAGGTCTGTCGGGTCCGCTAGTATACCTATATAACAAAAAAGCTGCAGAGACTTTAAAGACCTTTAGTACCTATATTTCTTAGACTGCATTGACTGCAAGGCTGTTGTCTAATGCCTCGACAGAGTTTTGCTAGTAAAATTTTCTTTAGATTTATAAAGATAGTTATTTTTTTTATATTAAAAAATGTGTTTTTCCGATTTTATTTATTAATAATTTTATAAACAAGTTTTTTTCGTGATTATTTTAGTAAAATGCAACATAGTAGGTATGTTAAATTATTGTATACAATGTATTATGATGTGTGTTGTGACATGACTTATTTTAATAATAGGACCTAAATAAATTATGACAATCAGTATGTAAATAAAAACATGTAAGCGATGAAAAGATCTCTCGTGCAAAACTATGTTGCAAATCCCTTCACAAATGAAATGCCAAAACATCTCGGCTTATTTATAAAAATTAGTAAACGGAGGGCGTGGAATATGCACCGCTGAATATTGGCACTTCAGTTTCTCTGTCCACAACCATAAACAGAAAAGGTTTGTTTGCAACAAATTCATCAGGTATAATTAAGCTTCTGCCAACGAAGCCCAATTCCGTAGCCGAAGAAGCCACAGTACCCTCTTCTGTGACATCTATAGCAGCTTTCTGAATGAAAGAGGACACATGAATTTCATAGTCGCATATCTCAGGGAACTTCGCTCTATAACTATCAAAGGCATCATGCACACCCATATCTCCCAAGAGCTCCTTCAAATTGTCGAGGTCAGACGAAATCTTAAACCGGGGAATTTGTGCCATAACCGTTTTCGGTCCTTCGCGCTTGAAGAGATTGAAAATTGTGGCTAAGCTGATAGTCTTCAACGAGTCGATCACATTGTAGATGGACACGTCATCGTTAGGTAGGATAACTAACATAGAGAACCTCCCTCTGCCACCATAAGGCAGCTCCAAGACTTTAGCGCGTATCTGACTGATCGATGTCATGTTGAATTCACTGTTAACGAACATTAGATTCACATCTCCAATTGCATTATTACGCGAATCATAAAACGTGCTTTGCTCTGTCTCCTCAGGAGCGAAAGGTGTTCTCCAAGTGCCTTTGAAGTATAGTGCGTCGATCATTATAAGAAAAACTCCCACCAAATCATTGGGAGTCACAATATCTTCGATTACACCATGAGTAGCTTGCTTCACGTTGTTATTGATCTCCGCTGCCGCAGCATTGAAATCTTGGAAATTAAGCGGTCTTATATCACAAACTCCAGTGTCTCTGAGTCTTTTTCTAAAAGCTGATTTCAGTTCCATAGTGCTGTCTACGAAGAGTGACGAGCTTCTTTCGAGCGTCGCTTGTGGGTCGGAGGCAGTCACTTGTTTGACGAGTTCGAGGTACTTGTTGTTGAAACATTTCTGCGGGTGGAGTTGTAAAACTCTTTTCAATTCGGCAAGGGTCTCGTCCGTGGCTCCAAATGATACTGCTGTCAGTAAAGTCCAGGGAGATAGAGTGGAGGATACGAAGTGCCCGTCTGTATCTTCAGCGATTCTTGACAACAACTCTACAGAGAATTCGTACACCGATCTTCTGAACCTCAACTCCGCTTTTTCTTTATTACATTGACCGAGTATAAGAGGGATAATGGCAATTAGTAAAAATAATATTCTGAGCCGTGCCATTTCGCCTGTCCTCGGCTATAAGAACCGAGTAACTACTGCTGATATGGGCACAGAAAATAAAATGTCCAGGGTTATCGCGTGACCTCCATGATAATAGGGTCAAAGTTTAAGATTTACTACTGAAAAGCCCCAAATTCAAGTGGTGATTGATAATGTTGGGCAATTTGGTAAATATTATAGCTAAGATTATCCTCTCACAAAAATTCCAATGTAAATACAGATTTTGCGACAAATCGATTGGCCGGAACAAAAGCGAAATCTCTTTTCTATTAAATTATTTAGTACTAGTGTCCCGTCCTCGCTTCGCTTAGGTGTAAAGCTGTAGTGTAGATTAAAGTATTTTTTCTCAGGTTTGTATTATACACAATGACATTCTTCTAATACTAACTACGATAGGCACGCACCGGCCGGGCCGCCCGCCCCCCCGCGCGTTACCGCCAGAACCGCTATATGTCCCTTCATTTGAAATCTGTAATATCTTCGAAAATATTCATTTAAATTACACGCTGCAAAGGGCCAAATTTATCACACAATGATATAATTTATTTACTACAAGGTA